ACATAGTAACTAAACAAATTACATTCTATGCAGATATATATAAGCAGCTACATACATGCATACTACCTCAATTGTTCCGGTACGGTAATCCCAATCTCTTACCCTTTATTTAGTCCTGCAAATTGGCCTGTATGTGCTTTGTTTTGTGTTTAAGGTGCGTAATTTTTGTACTTAAGGTAAGTTGATTTGTGTTCTTAAGGTACTTTGTTTGTGGGCTTAAGGTGCGTGGTGATTCGTGTACTTAACATGCGCCATGTTAATGCTTAAGGTGCATCCAACCGCACAACAGTACGAAAAGCAACAACCACATCTGAATCCTCCCCCCCCCCCCCCCCCCCCCCTCCCCTCTCTCTCTCTCTCTCTCTCTCTCTATATATATATATATATATATATATATATATATATATATATATATATATATATATATATATATATAAAGGGCAAGGATTCGGTTGGTCAACCGCTCTGCTCTATCTTGTGTAAGTCTTAGAATGTATTGAGATCTTCTATTTATAGTGGATAAAAGGAGATCAGAAGCTGTTGAGATTGATAAACATATATAATAGCTCAACATTCAACAAATCAGAGTGGCGCAGCGGAAGCGTGGTGGGCCCATAACCCACAGGTCCTAGGATCGAAACCTGGCTTTGATAAACTAAAATTGTTTTCTCTGTAGTAAACTACCCAAGTTAAGATTGAATTTTCTGGAAGAGCCTGTAACCAAAGTGGTGAGAATGAGGCAAGGTGGAGGCCAAGGCTTTAAGCGGGTGGGCCATTCTCGTTCGTGCTGGTGGGCCATTATTCTCGCGTTCGGGCTGGGGCAAGGCGGAGGCCAAGGCTTTAAACGGGTGGGCCATTCTCGTTCGGGCTGGTGGGCCATTATTCTCGCGTTCGGGCTGGTGGGCCATTATTCTCGTTTCGGCGGGAAGCAAGCGGAGGCTTTAAGCTGGTGGGTGGCAAAGGCAAGGCGGAGGCATTATTCTCGTTCGAGCTGGTGGGCCATTATTCTCGTTTCGGCGGGAAGCAAGCGGAGGCTTCGTTCGAGCTGGTGGGCCATTATTCTCGTTTCGGCGGGAAGCAAGCGGAGGCTTTAAGTTGGTGAGTGGCTTGGTGGCAAAGGCAAGGCGGAGGCATTATTCTCGTTCGGCGGGAAGCGGAAGCTTCTCGGTCGTTAAATTGGAGTCGTTCGGCGGGAAGCTTTTCGGTCCTTAAACTGGAAGGCGGCACTGCGTGAGGCTGTCTAGCGAAAACCACCTGAGGTTTCTCGGTCCTGGAGAAGGAATTATTCTCGTTCGGCTTCTCGGTCCTTAGATTGGAAAACCAACCTCCTCCAAGGAGGACAGGCTGGTGCATCCTCTACCCACGCTTCTCGGTCCTTAGATTGGAGAACCAACCTCCTCCAAGGAGGACAGGCTGGTGCATCCTCTACCCACTAGTGCCTGATGGGCCGTCCAAATTGAACCACCATTAGGATAACGGACCTCCTCCTAAGGAGGACAGGCTGGTGCATCCTCTACCCACTAGTGTCTGATGGGCCGTCCAAATTGAACCACCATTAGGATAACGGGCTGGTGCATCCTCTACCCACTAGTGTGCCTGATGGGCTGTCCAAACTGAACCACCATCTTTTTTAAACTGTTGGGCCACACAGCCCAATAGAGCCCATACAATAATGAAAAAAGAATTTAGAAAGCTTCCTAATGTAAGGTGTTTTCTGTGTAAGAAAACGGGTACACTGAAGTCATTTTCTTTCCTTTCACATTAATAGGTAGGTTTATCTCACTTTTTTAATCTTTCATTCTATTTTATTCTATTTTTTCTATTTAGGAAAAGCACTTTTACAACCAAATTTTATTTTTTACATTCATCTTCCAAATTTAATTTATGAACCTTCACTTCCAATTTAGATTGCCACCACCTAGTATTCCAGAGAGTGTGGTATGATCTCTTTTGACCTCATAATTCTTTATTTTAGCTTTGCCAGAGTGTGTGGTATGATCTCTTTTGACCTCATAATTCTTTATTTTAGCTTTGTATATGATACCGTGATACTAGGAAAATATTATGGCTTCATGATTCCTACAACCTGGGAAATTTTTTTGAGCAGTTTATCGAAGATTGTTTGTTGGGAACTTCTTAACCAAATTGATATTTTAGAAAACAGACTACAGCATAATTAAAATTGATATTTCAACTATATATGTACCTTGCCAATACCATAGAAACAACAAAAAATAATGTAAGGTCAATATGACGGTTGAGACTTATTGACTCAAGTACTCAGAACACAATCACAAAGAAAGCAGTATCATAAGGGAAAAATTGAAACAAACAAAGCATAAGATCCTTCCTCCCAAAATTAATAATATATTCTTAGAGAAGAGAAGGTTTTGGACATTTAAGAGATTTGGTAAGTTTGTATAAAAGAGTTGGCATATAAGCTAGGAGAATCATCTATGCTTCCATAGTTCCATGCAAGGAAAACAACTACTAAGATATGAGGGATAGATGTAATAATGGATGAAAATTATTTATGGCTCTAATTGATCACCTTTAGGACGGAGCTAAACAACTGAGGGTACATAGGATATGTCTCGAATTCTGAGGTGAACTCTCTGCAAGGTTTTTGAGCAAGTTCACTTCTCGATCTTCAGGAAGTTGTTCGAGAAGTCATTATTGGATATTTCGTTGGTAAAACTCAATAATAATCCTACAAAATAAGGATTATTATTTTACAAAAAAATTTGGGAACGAAAGGGTGAAGGAATGTGGCTCGGGTTTGGTGTAGGTTGTTAGCACAAGTTGAGCGAATAACTCTTTCCTTAAAACCTTATTTGCTACCTCCCACAAGTGATAAGAGAGTTATACCTAGGTTCCCAGGATAAAATGTGCTATGATTCAATGTTTGAGCACCCAAACAAAGAATCTGGCGAACTAGAGCAACATGATGAACACAATTAGGCTACCCATTAATCGAAGACTCCGTAATTGTTGAATTAAACCCACCCAACGGTCGCAACAGGAGACAAAAAGTTCTGGTTGGTTCATGCTAAGTTTGGCATAACTTATGACCGCGACCCTAAATCAAGCCTCCCTCCCCTGCACACAAAAGAAAACCTCCATGCTATACACAATTCACTAAGCTTTAAAAGAGCTCTTGTATAAATAGTGGTGTAAATCCACTTCCCAAACCAATGTGGGACAAAAGCTTCAATTTTTCCCTTCATTTTCCAACTCAATGGGTCTACTTTGAGAATCAATATCTCATTCACCAAATATTTCGTTTTGAGCGTACAATATATCAATCTCTTCATTTTACTACAAAGAACCTGAATCCACTTTGACCCGTTCTAAATCAGAAGTGGACCCCACTGATAATTGCACCACAAAATAGCCACTTAACATGTCATTTTAAGCTATTTTTCCAACAGTCATTATATAAGAATTATTACATATATAATAATTTAGTGTCTTATATTAGACAAGAAATTAAATATTTATAAATGCACTTATATTAGACAAATAAAAAAATCACATAAAGAAGAGTTTGTTCAGTAAAAAGATTGAAACTACTAATATTTCAAGGGTAGGCTAGCAAAGAAATAAAAATAATAAAATCTAATATATATATATATATATATATATATATATATATATATATATATATATATATATATCTACTATACTAATAAGAGCCCAAGAGAGTTAGACCTATAATGGGTAGAAAAAATGGCGGTCAAATTTTTTAATCAAATGAATGCATGGCTCAGATTGATCAGATTTTAATTTTTCCTTAAGATTTCCTAATTTATCCTTAATGAATATGATTATATGTTAACTTTTCCGTTAAATATTATCTTTTTCGTTTAATTTCTGTTAGTTCACCGTTAACTTACTCATTGATTTAAATAAGAAAGGTCTTAGGTTCGAACCTCATCACAATCAAAGTTGGCCTAATTACTAATTAGTACTCTATTTTACTCTTATTAAATTAAATAATAATTTAGTAGCTACAACAAAAAATAATACATATGCATTTTTTAAATTTAGAATTATGTGTCTACAATGTCTTTATTCAAAAAAAAAATTATTCATTATCAATAAATTAAATAAGAGAAATATGCCAAGCACCTTGTGCTCAGATGGCATGTAGTGACCTCTCCCATGTAGTATATTTGAACAGATACTACAATGTAATAGAGTCAGTAGCATTCAAAAAAATAAGAGAAATATTTTCATTAGTTATATTGTATTTATTACTCCAATATAAAAATTCTTTACATTCAAATTCATCAATTGATTATATTCACTACATTGTCTATTATCTTTTTTTTGTGCACTATTTTTTAATTACATATCAAAGTTATAATACAAAATAATGTTATGTATTTATTTACCAAGTATTTTATTAATAAAATGAAAAAATTTTAAAAATATAATTAATAAAGCCAATCATATTAACTACTTGAGGGATTTGTTAACAAAGAGAGTATTCAAATCACACAACAAATTGAAGTGAGAATTACCTCGCAATGTCCTTGTTTGACAATCAGCAATTAGCGGTTAGCGTTAGCGGATTATATTAGCGAATTTGACCAGCGAATTATAAACGGTTGGTAAAAAGATATTTGAAAAAATTAGTTGTTTAGATTAACATGTAAAATGACCTAAGGATATATATATATATATATATATATATATATATATATATATATATATATATATATATATATATATATATATATATATATATATATATATATATAATTGTTTTAAAAAAATAAATAAAATAAAAATATAATTAAGCCAATCATATTAACTACTTGGGGGATTTATTGACCAAAAGAGTATTCAAATCACACAACAAATTGAAGTGGGAAACTATCTCGCAATGTCCTTGTTTGGCAATCAGCAGTTAGCTCTTCAATATTAGTATATATTTAATATTTTATGTCCTAATTTTTATTTGCTCTCCTTTATGTCCCGTATTTGATTTTAACCATACCTATGCAATTACTCTATTGACAATTATAATCAATTTGCTTGACTATATTATCTTGCATTTGTAAACTTAGAATTGCATATTTAAATAGGCAAATTTAACATTAAATTATCTATGCGTGAACAATGGCAATATAATCTTGGCTTGATATACTTTAAAGTACTTATTCAAAAAAAAATAAAAAAAAAGACATTGGGCATTATCCCAATTGCGCAATGCGCGTAAAAAAACTAGTTAACGAGATAAATTATATAAAGGTTATACCCATCATATTAAAATCCTAATTCGATTAAAGTTGGCCTATCAATCATCATCATACTAATATACTAAAATTCTAACTGGTTTGAGATTAACTTAGGTTTTCCCAATCATACTAAAATTGCTAAACATAATAACTAACTTGCTAAACATAATAACTAACTAATACTATATAAGCCCTTCATCATTCTATAATTTTCTTCATCATTCTATAATTTTCTTTCATCATTATACAAGCTATTTAGATATAATAATTAATCATGTTTACCAAGGTTGCTATGCTGATTTGGTTGTATTGTCTTCTCCTACAAGCATCAACTTTATATTATTTATATTACTTCAAAAATGGCAACTTTAGAATCCTATTTAGGTTTATGGGTTTCATTACAGCTTTTCAACTTATCCTGATTATCCTTTACACCTTGTTCAATCTCTCTCTTGAATGGATCAACAATGAATACATTGATGATGATGATGATAGCAGTGACGATGATGACGATAATGATGTCGATGATAGCGATGACGATGACGATGACGATGACGACAATGATAGCGGTGATAATGATGACGACGATGATAGCGATGACGATGATGACAATGATAGCGGTGACGATGATGACAATGATAGCGGTGACAATGTCGACGATGATAGCGGTGATAATGATGACGACGATGATAGCGGTGACGATGATGACGATGATAGTGGTGACGATAGTGACAATAGTGACGAATGGGTAAGACTTAAAACTGGATGTGAAAAATATGATGAGTAAAATGGTTCCATAGTATAACTACTCTTTCTTATATATAGTTAGAAATTATTCGACTTGTACGGATTATATTATTAGATAGATTTTATTATTACATTTGTTCCGTAATTGTGGTTGTTATTTTTTATAATTCTATTTTTAGAAGTAATCCCTCAATTATTTGAGATTTGTTTAATAAATGTTCATTGAAGTTGAGTTTGAATAATTTGATTGCGGAACCCAATTTTTTTTTTTTAAATAAAGAAAATATTTTTAATAAATTAACAAACAAATATGCTGAGCACATAATCCTGTAATGTACTTTACAAGAAGTTTCTACTTTTAAAAATTGAACAAGTATAAAAAGGCAAGTAGAAAAATAATCTGACAGAGAGGGTTTTTAATTAAGAAACTGGCACCAAAAAATTGCATTAAAAAAAAAAAAAGTTTCTTATACAAAGTTTATAAGGAACAGATTAAAGCTACATTGGCTCTTTAAAGTTTTAACAGCCAAACAAGTATTCTATGGCCCTGTAAATAAGTCTGTATACACTAAAGATGGCTAAAAAAAAAAACAAGAATGCCTGTATATGTCACCAACAGTTGGCCGGAACAATTATGAGATTACTAATAATGGCCTTGGCCCTTTTCAGAGTTATCAAACTAGGAAGCTGTAGATTTGCTTTGTTATATATATAATATATGCAGATTTGGTGTCAATTCTTTTGCTCTGTACTTTGATCACACCATATGTGCCTAGATTTGGTGTCAATTCTTTTCACAAGTCTTTGGGTAAAATAATTAGTTATAGATTGTTGTTGCTATGTATAATTAACCCAAAGGAAATAAACATACTATCTAACCCTTCTTATAATCTTATTTCCTTCCAGTATGACAAATATGTCATCTTCCGAAATTATGGCAACCTTCTATAAACGTCACCTTAAATTATACTCCGTATCTTTTACATATACTTTCTTATCTGGATTGTATGTGTGTTTCAAAAGAATCATAACACGCAATTTTTCCCCTTCCCTGTACAATCCAACTAAATAATCAACTTATCAATACTTCAATTCAACCCACTACTCCAAACTTTCTCTCTAAATTCCAAAATGAAGTGCAAAAATGAGCAAACAATAATTTGGTTAATAGTATAGTGAATAGAAAGATAGCCTAAGCATCAGCCATATAAAACAGAGAAAGATTCAAACTCAACAATCAAGTCATCTATGCCAACAACATCTGCTGCTAACTTTTCACATTTAGTATCCATAAAAGGATCAAATTAGCATCACAAAAAATATGTATGCATAATATAATCACAACCCTAATTTCCCCTAAACTCAATAAAGGATCAAAACTGCTAAATTTTACATATATAGTACGTACCTAATCCTAGGCTTCCAAATTATTCCGACACTCTTCCATCATATCATTTCCTCTCTCGCCTGCATCATTTCTAAACTAAATAATAAAAACAATTAATGTGAGATGGAAATAAAAACAAAGCAAAGCTTATAGGGTGTGATTAGTAGAACCCAATCATCTCTGCCATTCCATTCACTCTGTGAAGCAAATTAAAGCTAAGCTTCTAGTCTATATATGTCTCTGCTTCACATATAAAGCCTTCAACAAAAATCATACAATTTCCATCACAATGATACAAACCAAATCTTATGGCTCACAAAACCCATACACACACAGTTCTCCCCTCCATTTTTTGCTATGAAAGCCAAGCATTTCCTCCAACAATTTCCCACATCGAAATTAGAGCAGAAATATTTTCCCTTAATAAGGCCGTAGCTAGAAGAATTGCTTGCTGGGCTTGGTAGCACGAGCCTGTAACCTGAGTGGGAGCATTAAGATGGTGGAACAGTTGGCCATTCCTTGAAGGTTGGGCCTTGGTTGCAATTTACTGGCTTGCCCGTTCCAAGTGGTGAGTTGTGCCGTGGATTCTCTGCGAAGGTAGAGGCTTCTCGATCCTTAGATTGGAGGGCACTGCGTGAGGCTGGCTTCACAGAGCAGCGAAAACCTCCTCCTCTCTACAGTGGAAGGATAACGAGCCAGTACATCCTCTACCCACTAGCCCTGGACCACACAGCCCAATAGAGCCCGTACAACAATGAAAAGATGATACACATTCTCCGGATCCTGTATAATGGTTGGCCAGGCCAGTCACTATTTTGTAACCACACAAGCAAACTATCAGTGGCATTTGGAGCCCATCGAACCACAAAGACTAAATAAGTATTCAACACTTATAGATAATCCATATATTTTTTTTTAAGTGTCAATTAAATTTTAAATACCTTTTGAGCTAAATTATATTGTTGAAAGTGTAAAGCAAACATTCAACATATGTAAAGTTCATCTCTTCTAGGTATGTATTTCTGCATCATCAACCTACACATCAAAAGATAGTAAGATAATGTATGTATGTCATTCTTAGAAAATAGGCTTTTTTCTAAAAAGCAAGCCTCAATTTGGAGCTTCTAGAAAATTAGATTTCTTTCTCTCATCCTTAAAATACCATACCCCCTATCACTATCAACTTCATATGCAATTATGTTAGAAACTAGAATTATTGGTTACCCTTAAAACAAGAAAAGCACCTAGGAGACCCCATGTACAGAGAAATTATAGATTGTAGCACTTAAAAGAGCACAGCAAACACTTAAGATATAAAAGAGAAATCAAATTATTCAAATATTAATATCAATTTGTTCTCTTTTTTTAAAAGAATTCATATTAACAATGTAAGTGTTCATATGCAGCTCTCTCACAAATTGATATTGCTTTTAACTCCAGCCTGCTAACATTTAGATCATACACAAAATTAAAGATCATACAAAATGCATATTCCCAAGTAGTTCACTTCACCAAATTAAAATAACAAACAAAAACATACAATTTAGGAATTAAAACAAACACAAAACATGCATTTTGTTAATCACAACCCATTAAACTGCAGTGGTAAATATTTGCAATTCTAGCCATTCATTTTAGTGGAAAAAAATCTCAATTTCTACCTTATAATAAAAATCCACAATGTATAACATATCACGGTTTAGGCTTAAAAAAAATTAACGAAATGATAATTAGCAAAGAAAAATATCTAATTCTGATTTGTATTTGGCGGAAGAAGTTTGTTAGGGAGTAATAAATTCTGAATTTCAAAAAGGACGCGTCATGGCTTCCATTAACGGCTACTACTACTACGCCGCCTTAATCCCACCGGAATTAGGGCTCCGTTTTACCGTTATAAGTAGGTGTCGCTGCCCTCACTTCCAAGCATCTTCTGCACTTTCCGTTGTTTATGCGGCGGCGCTAGCTTCTCTGTTGAGTTTCTCCTCCGCCATTAACGAAGAGCGTGCAGTGGATGTGCAGTGGATAATAACCTCTCTGATCTTCTTCAACAACAACCAACATGGCGGATCACTCTGTTTCTACCGTCCTCTCCCTCTCTCTACACCCATCTCCGGGAATTTCTCGTTCCCAACCAATGAAGTCGCCCGGCGTTGATCTCTGTCCCTCTGTTTGGTGTTTCAACGCCGATCAAAAACCGCCGCTTAATTCTGCCCTACCCAACCTCCAAGAACTCACCTTTATGCTCTTGTCGCCATCAAATCTTTCAAAGCCCTCCTCTGATCTTGATCTCTTTCCCGTTGCCGCCACATTTGAAGATTTCTTGGAGGACAAGAATCACTGGATAAAGAAGCGTCTGAGTTTAAGCGATGTGAACGGATCGTCGAGGCTGTTGCTGGGTAAGGATTATGTGAGGAAGTGCATTCTGCCATGGATGGATGAGGAGAAGCGGGCCGCTTGTCAAAGCAGGGAAGGATTGGGAGTGAAAGTGTGGGATTTGGATACCATTTCGGAACACGAGCTGAGCCTGAAGCAATGGAAGACAGGGAGCTTTCTGCTAACAAGCAACTGGTGTCTGGAGTTTGTGAAGCGAAGAAATTTGAAGGAGGGTGATAGCATTGGGTTGATGTGGGACTTTGAAAAACTTGGCTTCTTCTTCCACAAGTTTAATGCCCAATCTTGAAAAACTAGGGTTCTGATCTTCTGCTAACCACCAACTAATCTGATCTAGTAGTTATTGTGCAGTATCAGTGATTAGCTGACTGAAATGAGAGGATTCTCTGAACTCTTTCCTCGATATGATATGACTTTAGTCTTTAGTAAATAATATTCACTTTTATTTTTGCATGAGAAATTTGTTATATACTCTGTATATTTTGTTTCATTTGGTTACTGTTACAAGTCTAAAGTCTTTATATTTTCCATTTAAAAACCAAATTAAATTTAGAGACTATTGCATACCTAAAATATTTCTATATATAATAAAGCAGAATCAAGGTGAAAAAATTTTCCCTCCATTTGATGCATTTGAGAGTTATGGAATATCAAGGGTTTAGGAACTTCATAAAAAAAATCATAAATAATTAAATAAAGATGAAGAAAATCAAAGTGAATAACAATAAGAAAGAGTTTAGTGTAGTGGAGAGTAATTCACAAAATTAATTTGAGTAATAATTGTTGATCCATAATTAAAAATTAACATTGCAATACTTATGTTATGTTTCTAAGAGCATCCAATTAAGGGATTTTGTTCACAGTTTTTTTAGAAAAAATGACAACTTAAAAGAGAGAGAGGGAGGAGAGAGGAGTAGGGTGCTCCTATAAAGACCCAAGTTTTTTCGGAGTTTGTGGGTCTCGCCAAGAGAGAGAAGGAAGTTTGCAGGTCAAATTTTTTTTTTCAGCTTTGTTTTTTTTTTTTTTTTCACATTTTTGTCTCTCTCTCCTCTATCTTATTTGGCACCTAAAAACTTGTGCTAAAAAACTTATCTATTGAGGATGCCCATATAAGCATTTATTTCCACGCCAATTGCAAATGACATTAGCAAAGTATGAATACGTTAATTGTGTTCACATTCACTGCAATAAATAAAACATTCTTAAAAATTTCAATAACCACATGTTTCAATATTTACATGAACATCTACACCTACTTCAACATTATAAATAAGTCATCATCCACAACCAATATAATACTACAATTATGTTTTGGTCGTGGTTGGAATTAGGAGGATGATTGGGACTAGAATAAGGAGAAGAATATTTTTGGGAGCTTAGATCTCCTATAGAGCTTTATACCGTGTGATCTAGGGAAGATGAATATTTCTGGGAGCGAAAGAACTCAGGTAAATTTTTCTGTTTCCACGGTCATTAATTCCTTTGCTAATTTAGAATATGTTAAAAATTTAATTGATAAATTTGTTAAATTAATAATAGTCTGTGCATCGCACTGGACAATTACTAATTTAAATCATATGACATGATTAAACTACTTAGACAATTTTTTGTTAATTAGATATTTCAATGAACTGATCAGATGGTGCAATAATTTTTGTGATTATCATTACATATAAAATCTTGAATTTACTTATCAATTCAAGTATGCTCTATTTTTCATATTGTTTAAAAAAAAAATTTACATTCCCCTTATATTCGAAATATTAATAATATAAAATAGAAACAAATGTTTAAATTTCAATGAGTTAATCTATGTAAATTGAAGCAAGTAGAGAGACATACCTTAAAATCAAATGTTATAGTAAAATAATTGGGTTGCCATTTTTTTATTATTCTCCCTATAAATAACTTCTGCAGTTGTGTATAATGATTTTTTAAATAATTTTATTTTTGTTATAAATATGTTTTTATTGTGGCCATTATTAGTATTGATTGATTATGTAACGGTTAAGTGATTAATGGCTGCACTATATCTTCCGTTACATTTGTATATTATATATAGATGTGTTATGGTTGTATGGAAGATAGAGATGTATGAATAAGATATACTCTTGCATTGTGTATTACTTTCTCTCCTTCTCTATTACTTTTCTTTCTACTATTTCTTTGATCAATGAGCTATTCTTTGAGCAATGAGCTAATGGGTTACAACACGTTATCAGCAAGCTCCCATTTTTTTTTCTCCGGTGGACGGTATGATTCTTTTTCATAGTTACTGAAAACCTTCTTATCCTTGCTTTGCTTCACTATCTGTATATGAATATCTGTAGTGCTATATTCAATGCCTTTCATGATGAAATGCAAATTTTTCTGTTGATTAGTTCTTTCATTGCAAAATACTGGCCATACTGGTATGAATCATTCCATACTGGCTGGATCTAATTACTAAAACAGATAATCTGGTTAAAGCAAGATGTAAAAATATGACTTGTATCATAGTCCATGATGGATCTCTATCTTGATACCCTTTTTTTAAATTCTATTTATGAAACTCCATGGTGTTCATGGATCTGTTTTTTTTCGAAATATCAATTTTTCTTAATAAACAAAAACCCAGAATACCGATTCAATTTTTATTATTGTTTGATTTCATAAACAAACAAAGGAATTAATAAACAAAAACAAATTCTATCATTTTTATTATTGTTTGATTTCTGTGTACCTTGAATTGGGTTACACTGCAATTTAGAATGCCTTGATTAGAATTGCATTTTTATGATTCACTCGCACTTGACTTTTGTTTGCCATCTGCGTCGCATCACCACTGCTTCCACCATAATTCTTCAATCGCAACTGGCGTCCAGCGATCTGCCTTCGACTGTGGTGGTTGCGAATCGAGCTAGGGTGGCGTTTTACAGTCGTTTTTTTTGCTCTGTTTTGCACTGAGAATATTGATCCTTTTGGGATGATGATAATTGGCAGTTTCGTATATAAGGTTTTGCTCTCCAATATTGACCCTAATCCAGTGATTATTACTAATATTAGAGGTGCAAGTACTGTGTCTAATCTAAATTTGCCAACTCCTACATGTTGTAATAATAGTGCCAAGGTTGTTTGTGCTACGGCTAAGCTTTGTATGTGCTTAATAATGATATTAATGTTTCTTTAATGTATCTCATCATGTTCTGTGCGTACCATATCCATGCTACTCCATATTTATTATAATGTATGTGTGCATGACTCAAAACACAAACTAAGTCTCATGTTGATTAGAATATGGTACAATTATTTGCTATAGGTCATATTTAATGATGAGATTTTTTCTTAAATCTTAATCGGAATTTACATAAATGCATGTAATATTTGCCTAGAAATGAAACACTTATTATATGACCGTCCTTGAAGGATCGTCTTGATCAACAAGTGATTATAGTCAAAATCTTAAACATAGCATTGCCCAGAAGGTGAATTCATAGCACTAGTTATATGATGATAGCACTAGGATAATTTCTATGACTAATGTCAAATTGACTTGGAAGTCAATCATTATTTGTCCAAATTCATACATATTGGTGGTACTAGTTTTTATATGACATGCCTATTGAATCTTGAATATCTCAAATTGAGTATCAAAACAAAATAATAGTGCATATTTTCAATAAAATTTTGCCCAGAGGTAAACACTTATATCACTAAGTTTTTTTGACACCTTTTGGTCTAAACCATCAGTTATGAACAATTTGATCTAAAAGGATCTATAGCCCCTAAGTAAATCCCTGAATGATATTTGGTGTATGCAGATCTCATTGTCAAAAATGATGGTCATATTATTGCCCATATTACGACATTTTTTTTTTTATATATTGGCTATTCATGTCAATTTTGAATTTTGTGAGAAGGCAATATTACTCTACTTGTTTCTCTCATTGTCATGAAACAACTATTTAAGATAGACAATATCATTTTTTTAAAACCAAAGTTCAAAATCTTAATACAACTTTATCCGGAAAGCAAATTAAGCAATTTTGGAGGAAATATTTTGTTCGGGACCTTCAAAATTAAAAAACCAATATGTCGATCCACTACATATCGCATACGCTAGTACAAGATGCATTTCCCTATCTGCGTTAATTTTTTTTAGTATGCAACCCTTCTAGCTATATCACATCATGAGAAATCAACAGTGATGTTGGTTGCATTATAAGATCTTTTCTCGGCATTAGGGGGAGATTTGAAATTTCTAATTAATTAAATGCCGAGAAATTGATAAAAATCTTCAAACCCATGTACTAGCCTTATAGAACCAGAAGTTCAGACATTGAACAAATTATCTGCTAGAAATCTCAAAGAGTGACTAAGTCCATAAAAAATATTTCATATATATTAAGAGCAAGGTTGTAAAAATCCCGCCTAGGCACCGAGTAATCGGCGCCTAGGCACTAGGCGCCCATAGGCCGTGGCGATTTCCGCCCTAGGCTCCCGCCTAGCGTCTAATTCAGCCGCCTAGCGCCTAACTCGTCCGATTACGCCGAGTTAACTCGTCAATTTCTGTCGAGTTAACTCGATACTTTCCATTTATATGTCGAGTTTTCCATTTATATGACATATACATATAATATGTCATATATACACTCGTAGACTAGTTTGATACTTTCAATCTTTGGATGATTGAAGTATTTGGGTATTTCATTTGAGTTTTTTTTTTTTTTTAATATTCTTTTGATGTTATGACTTATGAATTGTCATTATGTCATTTATTTGGATGTGTTATTTGATTGAATGTTGAAAACAGCCTCATTAAAATTGTCAAATTGCAAGTCTGCTACTGTTTTTTTCGCGACCGCCTAGCGCCGCCTAGATTCCGCCTAGGCGCCGACTAGGCCGCTTAGGCGCTAGGCGCTGCCCGGGCGCCCGACTAGCGCCCAGCGCCTATTGCAACCATGATTAAGAGTTGAAATCTCCAACTAGGACTAAATATTTCTACCATTATGCAGGAAGCATATATTGGTTTAAGAATTTACAAAACTAGATCTAGTATAGAAATTTCGTCACTCCAGAAATATAGAAATTTTATCCTGAAGATATTCGTCTAGAAGGCGAAAACCCCCAGTAAAATTGTAGGTGCACCAAACAACTAAAATACTGGGGAAGCGGAACAACCAAATTCAAATAATCTTGGGAAATGCCATATATTTGGTTGATACAAAATTTCCATGTGTATAAAAGATATCTACAAAGCTGTTATAGTTGTCAACAACATATTTTGCCTCTATTGCTCATAAATACTTAAGTCTGGATCCAGAAATGAAAATAGTAGTATAACGCCTGCAGCGTGCTAACTGTTTTCATAGAAAATAGCAATTAAGGTATACAAATCAGAATTCGCTAATAAAAGGCGAGTGGAGGGTTTTCGCAGAGACCCAATATTAGTCATGGCTTTATATTCCGCTATTCAATAAAACTAGCAGTAAATAAATTAGATATGTAGCTAATAGTTATAGTTATCACATATTTATATGGGTAATTTGTTACTTATATTTAAAATCCTTGATGGATTTTCTCAAAATGTGATGAATGAAAATCACAAAATAAGAAGTATAAAAGTTAGTAAGTTACTAACTATGATCTTTTAAATGTATTTTCTCCCCCATAACAAAGTATGAAAATATATTATCATAAACATGCCTAGTAATGTTATATGTGATTGGGAAACTCAAATATTGTTTCCTCTTGAAAATATCCTAAATATATCATCTAGTTTATCTTGAAAATCCCTAATGGATTTATAATTCTCGAAATGAGGATTTATTTAAGTGTTATTATTTACTCTTTAAAGAGTTGCAAATGTGGTTATTATCCTCATATAGAAGGAATAATATGTACCATTATGTGCTCAATAAAGAGTTGATAATGAACTTATTTATTATCTCAGTCAATATTTATGGTGTAATCATCAATGAAATATGTAAAGAGCTTGATGATGTTAAGTTATGAGATAAGATAACGAATAGTAAATCAAGGTACAAATACTCGTATTGATGCTTTTTGGCATGAAGTGATCATACTTGTTACAGATAAAAACGTATATAGTTTTTCATGATATAAAATACCTTGATCCACATGAACTCCAGAAGAGTGATAAAATATTTGTTCAGAAGGTTTGCTCCAGTGACAAGTTAGCAAATATATACCTACAAAATATCCATAAGATTGATATGGGTAGATAAAGAAAAATTATTATATTTAGGGGGAGCAACAAAATATAAACTATAAATAATTTTACTGGTCCAGATGATCATGAGAAAATATGATAAATTCTAATGACAATCCTGAAAATTGTACCATATCCCTTCTCTACACCCTTTAGAAACAATGATTTTACAGGCAATGTAGAATTTGAAAATTGTTATCTTCAGGAGGAGACATGAAGTACATTCACTCGAGTCAATCCCGTAGATTGGGTCTTAAAAGGACTAATAGTTGCACTTTTTGCAGCGTATATATTCAATTGAGTCAATCCTGTAGATTGGGTCTTAAAAGGACTAATAGTTATACTTTTTGCAGCATATACATACCATGTACTCTTTTTCTCACTAGGTTTTTCCCAATGAGTTTTCTAGTGTGGTTTTTAACGAGGCATGAGTATGATATAGTAATGACAATGGGGAAAAGTTGCAAAATAATTGGTTAATAAATGAACAAACTCCTAAATCCTGAAGATTATGCAGATTATGCCCTGAAGGCTGCGCTTATGGTGTACTCTTTTTCCCTTAACTAAGTTTTTCCTACAGGTTTTCTTAAGTTAAGGTTTTTAATGAGGCGACCAATACAATATATGTTTTTACATATATCATGTACTCTTTTCTTCAACTAGGTTTTTTCCCACGTGGTTTTCCTAGTGAAGTTTTTAATGAGGCATGAATATATTTTCTATTGTACTCTCTTATTGTCTAGGTTTTTTCCACATGGTTTTCCTAGCAAGTTTTTAATGAGGCAAGATCGTAGTCAAATAATGTCCAAGGGGGAGTGTTATAAATATGTTTTTATTGTGGCCATTATTGGTATTGATTATGTAACGGTTAAGTGATTAATGACTGCATTATGTCTTCCGTTACATTTGTATATTATATATAGATGTGTTATGGTTGTATGGAAGATAGAGATGTATGAATAAGATATACTCTTGCATTGTGTATTACTTTCTCTCCTTCTCTATTACTTTTCTTTCTACTATTTCTTTGATCAATGAGCTATTCTTTGAGCAATGAGCTAATGGGTTACAACAATTTTCATTTTTTTAAACGACTTTATTTTCATTAATTAAACAAGAATTCGTCAATTCAACCACTGATTTACAATTAAAATAATATAATTGAACCTAATAGTAATAAATTTTATAGATATAGATAATACTATATGATTATTTATAAAATTAAAGTTGTTAAAAGTTTACTTAGCTTATGGGTGTTAATTGTTAAATACAAATTTTGTATCCAAATTAATATTGTTCTTTTCAGAAACACACACATATATAATCAAAATTCCACTTTTGAAAAGTAATCCAACTATGGAGTTAGCTATGTCTCTCTAGTTAAAAATAAATAAATAAATAAAAGTTATTGAGTTTAGCCCAAACACATAATAAATACTTTCTTTGTCACATTTTACCTGTCATGTTTACTATTTTTGGTCAAACTAACTCTTTCTTCGCATGGTTCCAGATTTTCTCATTTCTCATACTTGTCAATTAACAACTTTCTTTTTGAATGGAATTAAGCCAATTTTACTGACTGCTCCCCGTATTACCACCACCTGTCCTGTATGGTCCAGGCCGCCTCTAGACATGTATAAGCTCAATGGTGACGTTGCTCTTGATCCAAATAGTAAGAAGATGAGATTTGGCTTACCACCACCACTACTGTATGGTCCAGGCCGCCTCTAGACATGTATAAGCTCAATGTTGACGCTGCTCTTGATCCAGACAGAAAGAAGATGAGATTTGGCTTTGTTTTTCGCGACTCAACATGTTTTCTCGAAGCATCTTCCATGTTTCAGTTTGTTCAAGCCAAGAGAAGCAAATGCCAATGGAGTTCGAGAAGCTTTAAAATGGATGAAGGCCTGAAATGTTGATAACCTCCAATTGGAGAGTGACTGTCTTCAAGTGGTCAACTGCATTGCTCAGGATCTTAATCTTATTTCTTCATTTGATCTCATACTTAATGATGTTAAAAAGCTAGCTACAAGTTTTACAAACTTATGCTTTTTGTTTGTTAAGTGGTCCACAAATAGAGTTGCCCACCCTCTTGCTAGGGAAGTCCTTTCGTGTCTGACTGCTCTCGGATCGTTCACTTATTCCTCTTTCCTTCCATTGCTCACATTTTGAGCATGGACCTTACTTAATGATATCTCTTTATCTTTTGTTCAAAAAAAAAAAAAAACTCTTTCTTCATTGTTTATTTTCTTTAATAATTTTTAATTATTTTTAAATTTATTTTTTTTTTTTGTGTTTAATAATATTTTTAATATAATTTTTAAATATATAAATTTTATATACTAATACTAAGCTTAATATTAAAAAAAAATAATTAAAAATAAAGATTAATGTACTTAGGTTTTAGATTTTAAAACTTTTAAATTATTATATAGGTATGGACTAATGGTAATATAATTAGAAAAAACATCAATTGATATCGGTGACTAACAACATCAAATCGAATCAAAACTTTTAAATCTTTTAATAGAAATTAGCTAGACTTGTAGCAGTTGTAAATTTTGGTATGGTGCAAAGAATGAGGCCAAGTGCAAATAAAGTCTTAATAATGTAAACTGAACTGAGTGATTCAAAAACTGGACTACATCTCAGCATTCAAAAATGTAAATCTAGGGACACCAAATCATAACTCAAATAGCCAAAAAGGAGTCTAATATCATAACTCGAATAATTTGATGATAATAGGAAAGCCACAAAATCACATGCCAGTAAACGCCTTCTATCCGGCACCAGTAGAGCCAACAGGAATCACCTTCAAAACGTTGAACCTCACGGGTTTGATTATCTGTCTTATTTCAGCCTTTTATATATCTTACCCAAGAACGACTTGAGTACTGCCTGAATCGCCTTGCTTGGATGAGCTTCAATGGAACTTGTCAGCTTCTCGTAAATCTTGCTTTCGTACTCATTGAACACACCCTGCCACATTCAAACTTCCAAATGTAAGAATGTTTGTAAATATGTTAATGATCACCACTAGCACAATGCAACTATTGATTTGCAACAATAATCACATTAATTATCAACACGTATATATATAGTTTATAAAAACATGAGATATTAATGGCTCGAATCATAGTGGGAACTAGAGTACTGCACTTAACTTTCAGTTTTGAAGTTAGTGGAAAAAGCTGTAATACTACTGATGAACAGAGTTCAGGTATTTTTTCGGGTTATGAATTTCCAATTCTAGCCATTACATAAACCGAGTAGACAAGGAATCCCAAAATAGAGTTACAAATACCTGAAGATTGAGTTCGTTGTAAACGGCTTTGACTTGCGCAACACTAGCAGGATCTTGTTTTCCATAGTGTTCCTGGAAAAAGAATGGCATTTGTGAATAAACGAAATTAATTCGATAAAACATTTTGTAGAACAATGAAGTTTTTTTCTTTTTTTTTACATATAGCATTTTCTTTTGTTCTTCGTCGCAATGCTCTAATGCTTTTGCAACCAGCCAAGAGCACTTGAAATCTTCAATATCTGTTCCAATCTGGTTGCACAATGATACGAATTAAACAGCCATCAGCTAAGCAAGAGATTGGATATTCTCTAAACATTCTCTACTGTTAATATATATTTTCAGGAATCAAAAACGGATACTATGGAGGAAGAATTGTATACCTTGCCAATCTTTTCCGGGTCACCAAAGCAATCCAGATAATCATCCTGTAATGACATAACACGTAATTTTATTATCAGAAATGTGCATTTAGAAAGATAAACCCGTTGTTATTGCAGGAAACATAAAGTACCTGTACTTGGAAGTAGATGCCCATATCAATAAGGATGCTTTTAACATCTAAATGATTTTCCAACTTCTCGCCCACCATGATCAGTGCACACGCAACCTGTGAAATGGAACGAGATGTAAAATAGGAAGCAAAGCCGGATACATCAGCTTTCGGGATTAAAAATGGTTTGAAATAAGACTGAACTCTACTTACAGGAAGATAGAACGAGTAATAGGCAGTCTTGTATTGAACAATCTGCTGGTGACTGCATAAGTGCATATGAGCAATTGGTTAAATTCAAGATAAAGCTAGTTTAACTAGTAGCGGCTAGAAAGAACTGATGCATCAATGTTGAGAAATGACTAAATTAAAGAAACTATAACAGACCTAAAAAAAAAAAAAAGATGCATACAAGAGATCAGCCTATATGTCCTTTACTATACAACCATGAACTTTAACCCAATGGGGTAGCTCAAGTGGCAAATGAGCTCTCTTTGTGGGGAAGAATTTTGGGATAACCCGGGTTCGATTCCCACAAGTGACGATTCCCTGTGAGCCAGCTCATGTGCCTCTCGGAGCGAGCAGGGATTAGTCAGGTGGACCCGGACCTTAAGACGGACGGAGAAAGACCCGGAATACCTCATGGTTTACACACACAAAAAAACCAACCATGAACTTTTTTAATAGTGTCAAGTTGTGAAAAGATATTCTATAATATTATAACATCTATGCAAGAAGGGATTGAAACATACTAAGGATATATTAGATTCTCAACTGCAATGAAATTCAATTACAAAAGAAAAATTCCCACAAGTTATCTGAACATAACCCTGCACCAATTTTATCAAAACATGCATCTTTTAAAACATGTTTCCCCATAATATTGCCAAATGCACAGCCTAATCGCAGAAAACAGACTGAATTTTCAACTCACAGTGATAGCGAATATTTTGATAGATCTTTTTCTCCTTCGACAGCAGTAATTAAATCAACCATCTGTCCACAAGCAGTTTGGAACTCAACCTATATTGGAAAGTAGATATTAAGTTAATTTAGCATACCAAATGAATGCATGCAGCAATTCGACAGCAAAATCATTTCTACTGTGTCTACCTCATTAAACAAATCCAACAAATCAACATAGTAAGGCTTATCTTTGAAGTGGTTCTTGAGGATTCTGGGAATATGGTTGCGAAGCAGGATTCCATCATTGATGGCAATTATACCAACCTAAGAAGAACAGTTGATTCAGGTTGCTCATTTTAAAACTGGCACAAAATAATTTCAAATTTTTGTGGAAACACTGCTAGAAATTATGGAATGTCCAACCACCTGAAAGTGATCTTAAATCAAATTGAAAGCAAAAAGTGGTCGGAAATAGCAATAAAGGTTTTTCCGGATACCAAAGTGGTCGGAACAAGGCTTCAACTTGATTTAAGATCACTTTCAGGTGTTCGGAAATTCCATAATTTCCAGTAGTGAAAAAAAAAAATTAAAAGTTCATTTCTGGCACTAACCTGAGGAACCCTAAACCAACAGTGCTGACCACGGCGAGTTTGAGAGTTGTCCATGATATCATCAAGGATAAGAAAATATGCTTGAAGCTATGAATTTCACAAGTATACAAACATCATATTCTAATTGTCAAACAGAAAAATACGTAAAGGAATAAATTAAAGCATTGAGAGATAGAATATGATGTTGACCTACCCATTCAATACACCAGCCAAGTACACTTGCAAGAAATATTTCATTTTCAGCTATTTCTTTCCCTTCTTTTAGCAGTTTGTAGCTATCAATGACACTGAGGCCTCGGTTTAACTTCCCTGAAAATTGTCATTGTTGATACCATTTAATATAATTGTGTTCCTCATCAAACTCTGTCTAAAATATAATTATAGACTCTATCAACTATCATATAGAAATTTAACAAAGCCATTTAAGCAAATTTCCATTTCTCATGATGTAATCGCTTAGATTTGTACCTCCAGGCACATTGTATTCCAGCATCTGTCACAAATACACAATGAAACGAATCAGGTTCCAAAGTATAATTTCCAAAACACTAAACACAAAGTATGTTAGCAATGAAAAATCAGCACCAATTGATATGATCACACTTTAACATAACTTCAAAAGCATCTCAAACAAGAAAGAATATTAAATATGCAAGTCATTTCCCTCACCAAATTAAACAATTCCACGTGAAAACTCCCTTCTTTTAGAAAATGAAGTTAAGTTATTTACATGAAACCGCTTATCAAGAGAAACAAGAACAAAGAGTAAAGAATAGAGCACCCAACAAGAATGTATAACAGATCTTCGTTAAACAACGAACATAGTTTAATACTGAAAATTAAAGATCCATTACTAGTCCACTAGTTTATTGAGCAAAATTATTGGGTTGTTTATGAAAGAGTGGTGAAGAAAAGGGCACTGACCCGTTGGACCCATTGGCGAGAATCGGGCGTGAGTTGAATGGCAGGGTCATTTAAGAGCTCAGATTTCAGCTTCGCGTATACTCCCACAAAATCTGACCTTGGATCCGCCGCAGTGCCATTCTGAGTCGCCATTTCACCGACCAACCGGCACCGGGGAACTGGGGAAGCCTCTCCTCCGACCAGTGAACTCCAAAGGAAGAGAATAAGGGGAGCTTTGCTCAGTTGAAGATACAACTGAATGCATGCACCTTTATAGGTACTGGGACTATAAGCTATAGCTGGATCAAACGTTTTACGCGTCTACACCTTTTGCATAAAAAATTCAAATTGGCCAATGGAAGGGTTTTTGAGATTTTTTTTTATTATTAACTTGTTTTGTTGTGATTAGAGAAATATTATAATTTTTACTAAAAATAATATTATACGTTACACGGCATTTCACGCGTCACTAGCATTTTTTACATGACACAAGCGTTTCATGTGACACGAGATTTTCACATACTTAAAAAGAAAACAAAAATTAGAAAATATAATACGGAGTAATTCGCAACCACTCCAACTACCTATGGCGTGTCTGAGTTGGATCAAGTGTTTTAAAATGTGTTCACCTTTTGCATAAATTGAAATTAAAATAGCGAATATTTTAAGAGCATGGTCAATAGAAGGGGTTTTGAGATTTTTTTTTTGTGTGATTAAAAAATATTATAATTTTAACTAAAAATATATATATTATACGTTATCCGGCATTTCACGTGTCACTAGCATTTTACGTAACACGAGTATTTCACATACTTAAAAAGAAAACAAAAATTAGAAAATATAATAATTGGCAACCACTCTAACCATCTAAGGCGCGTCTGAGCTGGATCAAATGTTTTAAAATGTTTTCACCTTTTGCCTAAATTGAAATTAAAATAGCGAATATTTTAAGAGCATGGTCAATAGAAGGGTTTTTGATTTTTTTTTTTTTTGTGATTAGAAAAATATTATAATTTTAACTAAAAAAAAAATTATACATTACCCGGCATTTCACGTGTAACTAGCATTTTACGTGACACGAGTATTTCACATACTTAAAAAGAAAACAAAAATTAGAAAATATAATAATTGGCAACCACTCTAACCACCTAAGGCGCGTCTGAGATGGATAAAATGTTTTCACCTTTTAATTTGCATAAATTGAATTAAAATAGCGAATATTCTAAGAGCATGGTCAATAGAAGGGTTTTTTTTTTTTTTTTTTTTTTTGTGATTAGAAAAATATTATAATTTTAACTAAAAAAAAATATTATACGTTACCCGGCATTTCACGTGACACGAGTATTTCACATACTTCAAAAGAAAACAAAAATTAGAAAATATAATAATTGTCAACCAAAACAACCTAAGGCGCGTCTGAGCTGGATCAAATGTTTTCACCTTTTGCATAAATTGAATTAAAATAGCGAATATTTTAAGAGCATGGTCAATAGAAGGGTTTTTGATTTTTTTTTTTTTTTTTGTGATTAGAAAAATATTATAATTTTAACTAAAAAAAATATTATATGTTACCTGGCATTTTACGTGACACGAGAATTTCACATACTTCAAAAGAAAACAAAAATTAAAAAATATAATAATTGGCAACCACTTCAACCACCTAAGGCGTGTCTGAGCTGGATCAAGTGTTTTAAAATGTGTTCACCTTCTGCATAAATTGAAATTAGAATAGTGAATATTTTAAGAGCATGGTCAATAGAAGGGTTTTTGAGAGTTTAGTCTTTTTTATGCGCAATGCGCAAAAACATATGCCCAATATTTATATTTTTAAAAAAATAATTAACAAATCCCTACTAATTAAAATCTATATGAATCAAATTTATTTATTATAATAATCAAATATATAATGTCTACAAATATTATTATCATTAAAAAATATAAGAAAATATATGGTGGATGCATGTGCATGGTAATAATAATGGAAAAGATAACAAAAGTTATAACGGTATGGGTATTTCTGTCTAAAAAATTATATAGTACAAATCAAAGGAATTCCAGTACGTTTTAGCTTCCAAAAACTCTGCTTCTACTCTTTCTTTAGCTTCATGTGTTATATCTTTGCTTTGTTCGTAGGATTCGTTGTTTGGGTGCTCAAACAGTGAATCATTGCACGTTTTATTCTGGGAAACCTAGGTTACAACGCTCCTAGCACTTGTGGCAAGTAGCAAATAAGGTTTTAAGGAAAAGAACAATTTATTCAAACTCGTGTTAACCTCTACCCAAATCTTTCACATTTTTCTTCCCACTTTTTATGTTTTCCCATATAATAATAATCTTTCCATATGATTATTATTTTGGGGTTTTTCCATCTTATTACCCAACAAAAGTGAGATCAGCGTATCTAATTATAAAATAGTCCGATCCACAGTGCACTGTGGACCCTGGTCCTAAACGATATAGTTTTGAATTTGAATTTTGACGGCGATCATTTGTTATTCAATTCACGCTACATGTTTTCTTTTAAAACTGTAAAATATGTGTATGTGTCTTGTGTTATGTGTTTTTGTGTCTCATGTTATGCAATTCTGTACCTTAAGTGTATGGATTTTGTACCTGAAAGAAATAAAGCAAATATAACATGGGCTTTTGTGTCTTGTGCTATGCATTTTTTTGTTTCGTGTTATGCGTTTTTTGTGCCTTGTGTTGTGCGTTTTGTGTGTCTTATGTTATACAATTCTGTACAATAAGAATATTGATTAGGTACCTGAACTAAAGTAAATATAAAACATGTGTATGTGCCTCGTGTTCATTTTATGTCTTTTTACATTTATCATTTTTTTCAACAACTAATTTTACCGAATATCTTAGTTTTAATCATTTAACCTATGAACTACTAGCTTTTCAACTAGACGTGTCAAAGAGAGCCTAGTGAAAATATCATTATACTTGAAAGAATAAAATAAATAAAGAATATCATTATAGTTGAAAGATTGAAATAAATAAAAAAATAAATTCCCTCAAAATATTAAGGAGTCCCAATATGAAACATATTCATAAATATTCTTAACATTTAATTTTAAAAAATCATTTGAATTTTTGAATAATTTTATAATGTTGTATGTAAGAAAAATGTGCTTTAAAACGTATTTTTCTAAATTGGAAAAAGAAAAATAGAGGAACTTACCTGATATAGTTAATGCTAATAGAACGTTGCTGTATAAATGACTTCAGTAGTACAAGGTTCATCTTTCTATGTACTGCCCCAGGCCCCAAGACGGAAAAAGATGGTGGTTTATTTTGGACAACCCATCAGGCGCTTGGTGGACTGAAGATGCTCCGGCCTGTTATCCTTCCACTGCAAAGAGGAAGAGGTGTTCGCTGCTCTGTGAAGCCAGCCTGACGCGGTACCCTCCGATCTAAGGGCCGAGAGGCCTCCGCCTTCGCAGAGGCTTCCCAGCCGGACTCATCACTTGGAACGGGCAAGCCAGTAGATTGCACCCCCGAGCCCAGCCTTCAAGGCAAGCCCATTTATTCCACCATCTTAATGCTCCCACTTGGGTTACAGGCTCGCGCTACCAAGCCCAGCGAGCAAATCTTCTACCTACGGACTTATTAAGAAGAAATGTTTCTTATCTTCTTCCGGTGTGGGAAACTGTGCGAGCCTTTCATGAGGGAAAAATGGAGCAGAGAACTCTGATGTACTTGTATTTATGCCTGGTGTTTAACAGATATGAGATTTGCATCATTTTTGTTGAAGGGGCTTATATGTGAAGTAGAGACATAGCCTGGATGTTTTGCTTCACTGAACGGAATGGCAGAGATGGGTTAGCTTTTATTCATTTCCATTATTATTTAGTTTAAATTGTGCGGGCTGAAGTTTTAGAAATGAATTGAAGTTGCAGCGGGGCGGTTTGTATAGATTGGTTATTTGGAAAATTTAGTAGTTTTGATGATTTATTGAGTTTAGGGGAAATTAGGGTTCTGATTTGAGATTATGCATAAAGATTTTTTGTCATACTAATTTGTGTGGAATTTGATCTTTCTGCAGTAAATCTTGATTGGTGGCATTCGAAATGTTGAGGGCCATTACCCTCAGCTCAGCTTCCTTACTTTTGCACTGTGTATACTAAAACAATAGGACTCAATATAAAAATTGCCATAATGTTACCAGCAAACTTCAGTGTTCACAGGCCAATTAGCTTCTTATATGTCCTGTTGTTCTTATACACCAGATACAATTCCTGCTCTCTATAAAATAAGGTAAACAAAACATGACCTCTTTCCATTCTTAGTGTATAATTCTAAAACTAGAAACTATTATGCCAAGTTCACCATTGTTCCAGGAAATGTTTGGTTGAATCTATCGACGAAACTTCACTGCAAGTGAATATGTCTGTTGCATACCCTCCATTTGGCGTCTGATTCAAAAGTCTTGTACCTCAAGATGAAGGGCGACTACCACCGCTACCTTGCCGAATTGAAGATTGGTGGCGAGCGTAAGGAGGCTGTTGAGAGCACCCGCTCTGCCTACAAAGGCTCTCAGGTATATGTATATATGTCCATTCTTCCACATTCATTTATTTGTGTAATTTGTTTGACCTATTTGTTGCTATTTCTGAAATTAAAATTACCATTGACAAAGCTTAATAAATCTGGTTGTTCTTATTTGTTTTTTACATATTATTAACACGCAATGTGTGTGGTTCGAAATTGATTGGAATTTAAGGATGAAAATGAGTAATGATTTGATATTGGTAGGTCAAATGATTGTATTCTGTTTCATTGATTGATCAAATGCAACCTTAATCTGTTAACTATAAGGAATGGTTCCCTTAGAGTTATTTGGCTATCAACTTTAATTTACAGTTCCCTTAAGAGTTTTTAAATAATTTTATACTGTTGTTTGTGAGTCTAAAAAGTTAGATTTGGAAAATAAATGTAAGAAAAATGTGCTTGTAGAATGTGTTTTTCTAAATTGAAAAAAAAACAAAAAAAATAGAGAATGAATGATTAAAAACTACCTGATATAATGTGAATAGAACGCTGTGAAAATGACTTCAGTATAAGGTTCCACTTTCTATGTGGCCCATAAGGAAAAAGATGGTGGTTTAATTTGGACAACCAATCAGGCACTCTCCGACCTGTTATCCTTCCACTGCAGAGAGGTGGAGGTGTTCGCTGCTCTGTGAAACCAGCCTCACGCGGTGCCCTCCAATCTAAGAGCTGAGAGCTGAGAAGCCTCTGCCTTCGCAAAGACTCCACAGCCAGACTCACCACTTGGAACGGGCAAGCCGGTAGATAGCACCCCAAGCCCAACCTTCAAGGTAAGCCCATTTATTCCACCATCTTAATGCTCCCACTTGGGTTACAGGCTCACGCTACCAAGCCCAGCGAACAAGACTTCTAGCTATAGAGTTATAAAGAAGAAATATTCCTCATCTGGTTTCGATGTGAGATATTGTGTTAGCCTTTCATGGGGAAAAAATGGAGCAGAGAACTCTGTTGTATCATAGTTCACCAAAAACATAGGAATGTAGATGATGCCTTGATTTTTATTTTGTTTTTGGTAATGGAAATAATATCATTTTTGTTGAAGGGGGGCTTATATGTGAACTTAGAAAAGTTGACACATCTAATTACATGCTTATGGCAAGCATGGAACTACTGAAGGTTACCAGCACACTTCAGAGTTCACAGGCCAATTAGCTTCAATTCTTATATGTCCGTCCTGTTGTTCTTTCAAAGCTTGAGACTTACACATTTCCTGCTCTCTATAAAATGAAGTAAAGAAAACATTACCTCTTTCCATTCTTAGTGCATAATTCGATCTAAAAGTAGAAACTATTATGCCAAGTTGACCATTGTTCCAGGAAATATTTGGTTGAATCTACATATCAGAGGAAACTTCACTTGCATATAATAAAGCGGTACGGTATAATTCTTTAGTTCTTCTGCTTTATTGAATTTGAACACTGCTGTTGCATACCCTCCGTTTTGGTGTCCGATTCAAAAGTCTTCTACCTCAAGATGAAGAGCGACTACCACCACAACCTTGCCGAATTGAAGAGTGGTGGCGAGCGTAAGAAGGCTGTTGAGAGCAGCCTCTCTGCCTACAAAGGCACTCAGGTATATGTATATATGTCCATTCTTCGACATTCATTTATGTGTGGTTCGAAATTGATTGGAATTTAAGGATGAAAATGAGTAATGATTTGGTATTGGTTGGTCAAATGATTGTGTTTTGCATCATTGATTGATCAAATGCAACCTTAATTAGTCTGTTAATCAGCCAATAAAATTTGGATCACAACTAAATTTGCCTCTTATTTCAGCTTTAATTAAATTGGATTATGATGTGATGTTCAGTTTTTAACTTTCAAGTTTGGCTCAGTTATTATCGTTTTTAATTATAACCTTTTGGTAGTAGATGGAGGATTTGATTGTGAAAGAAAACTAAATTGTGCAGTGCATTTGATTATTTATACTTAATGCTGATAACTTGTATTTCATGCACTGTCATGATTTTTTTGCTTATGAGATGTATAGTTACAACACTTATTGAACAACACAAAGGCAAATGCCAGTGCGCTTACAAGATAATAAGTCAATTAAGCCATGGTGATGAAATTAATGATGGTGGTAAATTGGCTCATTATATATGCTTTGTTAGCAAAAGTTGAACCTATTCAATTTGAGGAAGCTATTCAAAACTATAGATGAGGAGATGACTTCAATTGAGAAAAATGGAACGTGGGATCTAGCAGATCTTTCGCAGAGTCACAATGCCATATGAAATGTGTCTTTAAGATCAAAATAAAGTCAAATGGTGAGGTTGAAAGATACAAAGCGAGGTGAGGTTTTAGGTAAAAGGGTTTAAACGATGAAAAGGTTATGACTATGCATTATCAACCTATGAAGCTGGTGAGTATATTGCATTAACATCAAGTGCATGTCAAGCAATTTGACTTAGCAACATGAAATTTGGTTTCAGAAGGAAAGTCAAATCAAGATCTATGTGGACAACGCATTACAGTATTAGCTATTTATTTAGCTAAAATTTTGTATTTAATGAAGGAGCAAAACACATAGATATACAATATTATTTATTGAAATATCAAGTTAATAAGGGATCAAAGTGATGAGTATTGCAAGCCTAAAGATTAAACTGATCAAATTGAAGATCAAGATAATGTTTATTAATTTAAGAACAATGTTATTTTTTCTTCTTGAGTTTACCGCCTAATATTAATGACCTTATGTGATAGTGAATACTTCTTATTATTGGCTACCGTAAATTGACCAACCTAACCTAATGTTAAAATATGAATCTACTTATATAATATGCGCTCAATTCGAACGTGCGACATGTACAAATTTTAGAACATATCTATAATTCACGACTCAGTATTACTCAAAAAATTGACAAATCTAATCTCTAATGTAACTCCATTTTCTTTTATACACCTTAGGTAATAAATTGTTGGTAACATTGAACGACTCTTTCTTTCTTCCCTCCGTTTGTTTATATTTTATTTGATAGAAGTATGTAACAAAAGTACTACTTTATGAATGGATAATTAGTATTTTCCTTTTAAATAAGAACTAATTCTAAAGTGTATTTACTTATTTGATGTGATTAATAGTTGAATACAAGTGTGTAATAAATAAATTACCACATTGGATTTTGAATTATGATTATGGAGTTATTAATGATATAATTAAATATTTTTACTAATTTACTAAATATAATTATGAAAATTATGGAATTTTCGATTACCTAAAAGTGATCTTAAATCAAGTCAAAAGCTTTGTTCCGATCACTTTTGGTATCCAGAAAAACCTTTATTGCTATTTTCGACCACTTTTGTTTTCAACTTAATTTAAGATCACTTTCAGGTGGTCGGAAATTCCATAATTTCCAATAATGTTTTTCCATCTTGATTTTACCTCCTTATAATGTTTACGTCCTAATGTGATAGTGAAATGCTTTTTATTTATTGACTATCATAAATTAACCAACACAACATAACCTTAGCTTAAAATATGAATCTACCTATATAACATGCACTCAATTTAAACATATGATCGACATGTACAAATTTTAAAATCTACTGCGATCCACCACTAAATATTACTCCAAATATTGATAAATCTCGTCTCGAATGTAATTCCATTTTCTTTTATACACCTTAACTTGATAACAAATTGTTGGTTTCATTGGACTTTTTTTTTTCCTCTCCCTTTCTTTCTTTCTTTGTTTCTTTCTTTCATTCTTTTGGTTATATATATATATATATATATATATATATATATATATATATATATATATATATATATATATAGGGATGCTCAGGTGCGAATAAGTGCCCAGGAAAGAATATTCGAACGAATCAGCGCGCGACACGTGTCCAGATCTAATAACTTAAAAAAAAACGCGGTGGCATTTTCGTAAATAATTGAACATCAAAGTGCAAGTAAAATCACTTACAAGTGCACCTACTTTCACCTATAAGTGCATGTAATTTTGCCTTGTTAGCATTCACTTCCCGCGAACATTCATGCACCTGGGTGTGCTTATAACTATAGGTGCAACTACTTATAACTATAGGTGCAACTACTTATAACTATAGGTGCACCTACTTTCACCTATAAGTGCATGTAATTTTGCCTTGTTAATATTCATTGATCTGAGTTTAGCGGGTAGTAATACTCCTGAAAACCACTCGCAAACATTCATGCACCTAGGTGAAACTACTTATAACTATGTGTGCAACTACTTATAACTATATGTGCAACTACTTATAACTATAGGTGCACTTAGTATTGATGTTCAGTGTAAATTTTTACTTGCACCTATAATACATTTTACATGCACTTGTAATACATTTTACTTGCACTTCGATGTTCAATTGTTTACGAAAATGTCACCGCGCTTTTTAAAAAAAATCAGTGTTTCTCATCCATTAGATCTGGACACGTGGAAGAACAGAATCCATTCCTATTTCGCACCTGGGCGAAGCATTCGCACTTGAGTGCGATTCTATATATATATATATATATATATATATATATATATATATATATATATATATATATATATATATATATATATATATATATATATATATATATATATATATATATATTGAAAGGCTTTTGGTTATATTTTATTTGATTAGTAAGAAACAAAATGTAATGAAAGTAATACACTATGGATGAAAAATAAGTATTTTCCTTTTAAATAGGAACTTATATAGTGCATTTACATAATTCATGTGATTAAAAAATGAATACAAGTACGTGCGTAATAAATAAATTATCACATTGAATTTTGAATTATGATTATTGAGGAAGAAGCAAATATTATTGTTAATGGTGTTTTCACTCTGCTTACTTTTGGCACATCTACCGGTCTATTGTTTGATGGTCTGAAAAGCCTAACAAGTTACATTCTGCTAGAGATGATGTTTGTTTTTAAAGAGATGAAATAATTTTCAAATGATGTTGAAGCAATGTGAATTCTATTAATATGTGATTTCAACATATTACAAAATTATTTGAGTTTTTGAATAATTTTATAATATTCTTTGGAAAATGAATGTAAAATAGAAGATGAAAGATTAAAAAAGTAAGATAAACATACCTAATTATAATGTTAAATGACATTTGTGGAAATGCCACTTCACCAATCATTATACCTTGGACCAGAGTCCACAATGTACTATGGACCCTAGTCTTAAACGATATATTTTTGAATTTGAATTTTGACAGTGATCATTTGTTATTGAATTCACGTTACATGTTTTTTTTTTTATACTGTAAAACATGTGTATGCGTCTTGGATGGAACATGGTATGTGACCCATGCTAACTGGGCCCCAACAGGAAAAGGTTGGTGGTTCAATTTGTACGGCCCATTAAGCTCTAGTGGACTGAGAATGCTCTGGCTTAATTACATTCGGAAGGACTCACAAGATGGCAAATTATGCTGTGCATTCGTATGCACCATGCATGGTGCATACGGATGCAAAAACGACGTCGTTTTAATAAAACGCGCGTCTCCCCTTAAAAAAAAAATCAGGTTCGATTCCCAGCAACAACATATGAACTAAAATTCCATAATCGATGAACTATAATTCCATAATCGATGAACTATAATTCCATAATCTAATCTATGAACTAAAAATTCCAGAATGAATGAACTAAAATTCCATAATCTATAAACTAAAATTTCAGAATCGATGAACTACAATTCCATAATCGATGAACTATAATTCCATAATCAATGAACTATAATTCTATAATCTATGAACTAAAATTCCAGAATGAATGAACAATATAATGTTGTTGCTGGGAATCGAACCTGAATTTTTTTTAAAGGGGAGACATGCGTTTTTTAATAAAACGACGTCGTTTTGGCATCCGTATGCACCATGCATGGTGCATACGAATGCACAGCATAACGATTGTCACAAGATGACATAATGTTTAATATGCTCGAGCAGCATCCATATTACATATCGCTCGATGATCTTCAAGATTTTGGTTCTACTAGCACTGTCAATGAAAATTTAAGTGAGTGTAGTGAGATGATTGATATTTGAAATAATATTGTTATTTTATTATAGGATGCTAGATCATAAATGTGATATATATATATATATATATATATATATATATATATATATATATATATATATATATATATATATATATATATATATATATATTATTTAAATTTGAATTTATAAATTTATACAAATGTCTTTTTATGTCTTTTTACACTTACCATTTTCTTGAACAACTAATTTTACCAAACACCTTAATGTCAGTCATTTAGCCCATATTAACTACTAGCTTTTCAGCTTTCAATTTTCTGTTAGGCTTGACAAACAGAGCCTAAATGAAAATATCATTATAATTGAAAGATTAAAATAAATAAAAAAGTAAACTCCCTCATAATATTAAGGTGTGCTAATACCAAACATATTCATAAATATTGTGAACATTTAATTCTTAAAAATCATTTGACTTTTTTGAATAATTTTATAATGTTGTATGTAGTCTAAAAAGTGAGATTTGGAAAATGAATGTAAGAAAAATGTGATTGTAAAACGTGTTTTTTTGTTAATAATAATAATAATAATAATAATAATAATAGTAATAATAATAATAATAATAATGATTAGAAGGAGAAGAACAGTAGAGTGGAGCAGCAACACGGAGGAATTTGTATTATCCTTTTTCCCAGTCAACAATTAGTGCGCATGTATAGAATATAGAGAAAATTATAATTTATGCCCCTCAACAGTATGCCGATTATCAATGTACGGGCGAGATGATATATGTACCGTTTTAAAAATTAAGAGGCAATATTTACACTACGAGAGAGCATTGTATGTATTGTTTTAAAAATTGAGGGACAATATTTACATAATTAATAATTCAGGAGTAACATTAATAATTGACATATTATGAACTACGAAGGATATAAATTACAGTTTTTCTTAGAATATATTATTCCTTCTAACTAGTGCTGAGCTGGTAGCTTGGTGGTAGAAACTTTATCTTTTGTGTACAAGCTCTCAGCTTGGACATCCACAATTAGGGTGTGTTTGGTTGGTGGGTTTTGCGCATAGGAATGAGTATGAAGGTAATTGTTGTTGTTTAGTTTATAGGTTTTTAGAACATTATTATGGGTTTCAAATACCCATCAATTGAAAAATTCATAGCCAAATAAAATAAGAGTTTTATTCTCAAGTATTACTATTAGTAACCATTTACATTCCACCCTACTACCAAACGTATTAAATATTTTCACAAAAACCCATTACCATTACTAAGTATTTGATATCCTTTCCAATTCTGATTCCTATGTGCGACCAAACACACCCTTAATTGTTTTGTTTCATAACATTTTTGTAAATGTCCAAATTTCTTTTCCCGAGAAACATACTTTGATATAATGTGAACGCAAAAATGTCCAAATTTTTTTTTCCCGAGAAACATACTTTGGTATAATGTGTGAAAATGACTTCAATATAGGCCCAAAAAGGAAAAAGATGGTGGTTTAATTTGGACAACCCATCAGGCTCTGGTGGACTGAAGATACTCCGGCCCGTTATCCTTCCACTGCAGAGAGGAGGAGGTGTTCGCTGCTCTGTGAAACCAGCCTCACGCGGTGCCCTCCATTCTAATGGACGAGAAGCCTTCGCCTTCGCAAAGACTCCACGGCCAGACTCACCACTTGGAACGGGCAGGCCAGTAATAGCACCCCAAGCCCAGCCTTCAGGGTAAGACCAACCATTCCACCAACTTATTGCTCCCACTTGGGTTACAGGCTCACGCTACCAAGCCCAGCGAACAAAGCTTCTACCTACGGACTTATTAAGAAGAAATGATCCTCATCTGATTCCGATGTGGGATTGTGCGAGGCTTTCGTGGGGAAATATGAAGCAGAGAACTCTGATGTACTTGTGTTTATCTAGATCTCTCTCTCAATTCACTCTATGCTTTTCGCTCTCTTTCTTTTCTACTCGTTCAGCAATTTCCTCATTTCTGTGTTCCCGTTTCCTTAATTTATGGAATTAGGGATATCCGCATAGGATATCTTGTTCACTTTCCACTGTGCTCTTTCCTGCAGCGCTTCGCATCGCAATGCAATTGGAGAGGTTGTAGACGGATATATATACATTTGTAAACGAGTATAAATATAGAAGCACTCTAACCGGAACGGAAGAATCGAGGAAGAAATTTGAGATTCAGCCATGAAAGACGACTACGAGGTATGCCGGCAATTTAACCTATTCTCTTCATGCTTTTCAGCTTTGATATCTACTCCATATTTGCTTAATTGGAAACCTTAGGGGTTGTTCCTGATTACGCCTTCAAAAGCCTATGCCGTTTCTTCTGATAAAGCCAAGATTCTGAGGCCAATTTGTTGTGTTTAAGAAATTTTGTGAAATTTTTATCATTTGAAATCGGATTTTGCACTGTTATGTCACAAAGTGATCAATTTTTTGCGTCATTGATTTGTGGCTTGTGTTGTATTATTATTACTCGTGTGTATGACTTGATCGCATGATTAAAAGGGATATTGTCTACTGATTTTACCAGAAGATTGAGTTGCTTGTCTAGTTATTTTTGGTTTTAGTAAATTGGATACAATGTTAGGGCTATAAATTAACATTCCTAATACAAGGATCACTGCATCTCTAGTCCAAGTGAGCTATTTCTTGGGCTTGAATTAATTGTTAGCTTGGAAGAATGGTATGAATACTACGCAGTCAAGAATAACCATTTCTTGTGCAGTTTTCTGCTCACCATGGTGGTAGTAATAGACACTTCACACTTGACTATCTCAAGTACATACATTTGTTTATTGTCTAATCAATTTCTGCCAAAAGCTTTGTTCGAGTGATTGGCACCAGACATTCTGCTCCAATTAAGCAGAATATGGATTCTTTGAGTCTCTCAAGTTCTCATTTGTTTGTTGTTAAGAGTCCACATTGAGAATATAAGAGAGAATATATGGGTTTATAAGGTCATGAGTTAGACTAGTTAATTGGTTGGATTCAATGGTGTGCATGTAGTGTGTGTCTAGGATAGAGGAATAAAGAGAGATAGGGACTCACCCCAGGCTCCTTACTTTTTCGATTATCATCCACCAAGGATCGACAACTTTCTAATATAGAAATGGTGCTTGATATCTCTGTTTATTTTTATCCATTGAGAGGGGTACCAGATTCTAGACGAGTAGGTGTTTTATTAAGTGCCTCAAACAGAATTTGTACCTTGTATTCCTGCTTGTTATTATCTTTATGTTAATTGCAGAGTGAACAAAAGAAACAAGCTGCTGCAGATGTATTGTTTCAATATTCAAGGTTTGTCATGGCCTGTATTGGGAATCAAGTCCGGCCTTGTGACTTAAGAATGCACTTGATGAAGGTAACACCATAAAGATCATCACTTCTTAAAAAACAAAAAAAAAAAAAAAAAAACTTTTTTACATGTGATGATAAAATACACAGCGGGATTTGTTTTTCTTAATTTCAAGTACTCATCAGAGAATTAGGTGAAAAAAAGGAAGTATTAGTCTATTAGACATATTCCCCCCTTGCCTTGAGCAATTGCTGAGTTTGCTTTCAGTATGCCGGAGAGAAGTAACTCTGTCAAATACCTTTGAACATTCTACAGGAGGTTTCAGGCTTGCCAACAACTTTGAAGAGGGAGACCCATGTAGCGTCTTCTCCCGACATAATGGGGGAATCTTCAAGCTCGGGGACTTCCAGACTTGATAAAACCGATAGTTTCCGGGGTGTCTAGACTGGACAATAGTATCCTCATCTTTGTTTCAAAGTACCAATCTGGTTTCTTTGATCCCCCCACTTTGTAGCAGGACATAAAAGTTGTCAATGTAAAGGGATATATTAGTGTCATCATCTGTTGGTAAAAATGATCCGGTGTAATTGGTACGATTATGTTTTATATGCATTGAGATTGAAATGGATTATCTACAAGCTAGTGTTAAATGGTATTTGTTCCAAGTCCATGAAATCTGCTTTCAGTTGGCTGTTGGAACAACCTTTGAGAGAGTGGATTGGATTCACCATTAGTGGTCTCCCGGACATAAATGTGATTGGTAAACAAATCTTTGTGTCTTAATTGCATTTACTTACTGTTTGATTAATCTTTACTTCGTAATTGATAATCTGAACTATTAATTGACTAATCAGTAAGTAGACTTTGAACACAGTTTAAGAAATTGTAATTGCGTTGAACACTTTACTGTTTGATTAATTTGCGTTGAACACCTCCTTTCCCAGCCTAATGCCTATATATATATAAAAGTTTAGTGTTAACATATTAACTCTTTTACTCCTTTTTCTCTCTTTCTCTCTCAACTGCCATTTCATACATTATCTCTTCCAACATAGCAAAAAATTCGTGAAAAATATTCATTGGAAGGATCATAATTACAAAAGTTTTAAACCAAGATAATGGATGTGTTTTTGCAATTGTCATAGTATTGACTAACTCCTTTAGTTATTCTTCCTGTTTTAAAGTACTCTCAAAAGCCATTTCATTGACCATGGTCTTCAAACACTCACCATACAATTTCACAAACCAACTGGAGATGGACCAAAAGATGACCTTGGAATAGTTTAAATCATAGAGTAAAATTAATATTTAACTAAAAGGTATTACACTTTACACGTATGTTTCACGTGTCACGTGCATTTCGTGTGATAGTCTCACGCAAAACATACTTAAAATGAAAACAAAGATTGAAAAAAATCTAATAATTGGAGTGGTTGCCAACTGGCGACCACTCCAACCACCTAACACATGTTTTATATGAGACCATCACATCAAAAGCACGTGACACATGAAACGCACATTACCACTCCAACCGCCTAACGTATGTCTGACCTTGATTAAGTGTTTTAAGCTTATCCACCTTTTGCATAAATTGAAATTATAATAGTGAATATTTTATGAGCATGGTCAATGGAAGTGTTTTTGAGAATTTATTTGTGATCCCGAGTTAAATTTACAAAAAAAAAAAAAAAAAAAAAAAAAAAAAAAAAAAAAAAAAATTGTTGTGTAAAGCCGTTTTACATAAGACATGTAATATTTTTAGTCAAAATATAATACGTTTTATAATTTTATAGAAAAGTATTAAATTTTAACTAAAAATTATTGCATGTCTCACCTAAGATGATCTCACACAAAACATACTCAAAAAGAAAATGAAAATGAAAATTGAAAAAAAAAAAAAAATAAATGATGGGATACCACTCCTATTGCCAAACAGTGTGTGAGCTCTAGAGCAAGTGTGCTTCAATGCGTGTGTAGTTATCTTTTTATTTATTTAAAAAATATTGGGTATTAGCTAATGATCTCTATTTTTATGAGCTTCGCGTATACTCGACAAACTCTAACCTTGGATCCGCCGGAGTATCATTCTGACTCGCCATTTCACAGACCAACCGAGATGGACCAAAAGGTGACCTTGAAATAGTTTAACTCATTGGCTAAAATTATTATTTAACTAAAAGGTACGTATTACACATTACACGTGCGTTTCACATGTCACGTGTTTTTTTTGTGATAGTCTCACGCAAAACATACTTAAAAAGAAAACAAAAATTGAAAAAAAAAAAAAAAGAAGCTAATAATTGTAGTGATCGCCAGCTGGTGACCACTCCAACCACCAAACACATGTTATATCTTAGACCATCACATGAAGCGCATGCACTCCAACCGCCTAAATCATGTCTGAGTTGGATCAAGTGTTTAAGCATATCCACCTTTTGCATAAATTGAAATTAGAATAGTGTATATATAGTTTAAGAGCATAGCCAATGGAAGTGTTTTTGAGAATTTATTTGTGATCTCGAGCTAAATAAAAAAAAATGAAAGAAAGAAAGAAAAAATAAGTGTTGTGTGAGCTCGCTTTACATAAGACATGTAATATTTTCCGTTAAAATGTAATGCTTTTTATAATTTCTTAAAAAAGTATTACATTTTAACTAAAAATTATTGCATGTCTCACGTGAGATGATCTCACACAAAACATACTCAAAAAGAAAATAAAATTTGAAAAAAATTATAAATGATTGATTACTACATACTCCAATTGCCAAACGGTGTATGAGATGTAGAGTAAGTGTGCTTCGATGCCTGTGTAGTGTGTAGTTATCTTTTTGTTTTTTTTTTTTTTAAAGAATTGAGTATCCCTTTTTTATCAGCTTTCACGTGTATTCCGACAAATTCTGACCTTGGATTCGTCGGAGTACCATTCTGACTTGCCATTTCACAGACCAACCACGGACGATGGACCAAAAGGTGACTTTGGAATATTTTAATTCATGGACTAAAATTATTATTTAATTAAAAGGTATTACACTTTACACGTGCGTTTCACGTACGCTTTGCGTGATAGTCTCACACAAAACATACTTAAAAAGAAAAAAAAAATGAAAAAAATATAAAAATTGGAGTGGTTGCCGCCAGCTGGCTACCACTCCAACCACCTAACGCATGTTTTATGTGAGACCATCACATGAAACGTACATGACACGTGAAATGCAGGTTACCGCTCCAACCGCTTATAAAGCATGCCTGAGCTGGATAAGTGTTTTATGTATATCCACCTTTTGCATAAACTGAAATTAGACTAGGGAATATTTTAAGAGCATGGTCAATGGAAGTGTTTTTGAGAATTTATTTGGGATCTCGAGCTAAATAAATAAATAAATAAATAAATAAAAGAAATAGAAAGAATAAGTGTTGTGTGAGCCCGTTTTACATAAGACATGTAATATTTTTAGTTAAAATGTAATACATTTTATAATTTCATAGAAAAGTATTACTCCGTACATTTTAACTAAAAAATATTGCATGTCTCATGTGAGATGATCTCTTCCAACGTAGTCAAAAACTCGTGAAAATTTGTTATTAGATGTGCCATAATTACAAAAATCTTAATTGAAGGGATAAAAAATTGTGAGAGTAGTTTATTATAATGATTTTTTTTTTTTTTGCAATTATTATAGTATTGACTAACTCCATTTTTTTTATAGCTTGGCATCACAAAACAATTCTCAAAAACTCTTCTATTGACCATACTCTTCAAGGCATTTGGTTAGAAGGAAGGAATTAGGGGGAAAGGAATTTAATTCACTAATTCGGTGGGAAAAGAATAATGTGGAAATAAAGTAGGAATTCAAATTACAATGTTTGTTATGCAGTAATAGGATTACAAGGAATTAAAAGGGAATAAGTGATATAATGACTAAAATGCCATTTATGAGAGATAAGGATGAGATCGATGGGATAAGGATAATGACAAGGGCAAAAATGTCTTCACAATAATATATTTCTCCAATTCACCACTGAATTACAATTCTTAGGTAGGGGTCATGAATTACAATTCAGCCCAGGGAGAGAATTGCAATTCCCTCCAACAAAACAATGTAAAATTGATAGGGGAAACGAATTGCAATGCAATTACAACCAAATTACAATATTACATCCAACCAAACATGCACTTAAAATATTTGGGTGCTATTCCAATTCCAATTCTAATTCCAATTTATGCAAAAGGTGGACCCGCTTAAAATGCTTGATCCAGCTCACATGCCCGCTTGACTATTGGAGTGGACGCCAGCTGACGACCACTCTAATCGCCTAACGGGTGTACGAGGCGGAAAGAAAGTACGTGTCTTTTGATGCATGTGCACTTATCATTTTTTTTAAATAAAAAAAAAAATTGGGCATGGGAATATGAACTCCTTTTTTTCACTCTCTCTCGTCTATCATTTTACATATTATCTCTTCCAACGTAGTCAAAAACCAACTCATGAAAAAAATTTCATTAGATGTGCCATAATTACAAAAAATTTAATCAAAGTGATAAAAATTAAGGGAAATTATCATTTTAGTCCCCTAATTTTTTCCAATTGCTAAAGTAGTTCAAAATTTGCAATTTCAACTAATTTGATCCTTGAATTGTTTAAATTTTTATCAATTATAAACCCTACAAGGATCAAATTGACAAAATTTTAAAAATGAAAAAATCACTATTTTGATACATCAAAAGAGTTTAATTGATGAAATTTGCCGATTATGAACAAATAAAGATCAGAGCTCCACCTCTATCAAAAAACTGAAAGATAGAACAGAATCAACAGAGGCTTGATGGGTGTTTAGGAGTAAACACCCTCAAAAAATTAGAATATGCCATTGATTGTAATGAACACACGGTATTCTTTAGTAAAAGGCGAAAGAATAGTTCGCTTTGTGTTCATCACATGACTGCTTGAGTTTCTATGGAGTTATGTACTTGTGTTTATAAAAGAATTGGCCACTAGCGTTGTATGTTTGTACGATGTGGGAGAGGTAGCGCTACTGAGACTCCTCCGCCCTACGCCTTTATCCTTAACCTTCCTTGTATAACAATCTATCATCCACAATCAAACCCAGCACTACCAATAATGTATTTGGAATTGGCTGGAAAAGTTCACTCATGCAAATTTATAAGGCACTACAATTTTTACTTTGCAATCGGAAACATTGAAATTAATTAAAGAGAAAAATATAATTTTTGCCCCTCACAAATATGTCAATTATCAATAATTATTAAGAGCGTAAATGTTGTCCCTCAATTGTCAAATTTCCTTCCTTATGGGAAGAAGGAGAAACAAAGGAGATCAAACGAAGAAAAAAAATTGGAGGAAAAAATAAAATAAAAAAGAGCATGATCTTCAAACAGAGGAAAACGGCAGGTAACCACATTTACATTATCACTAATGAACAACATTTACACCCCTAATAACATCTTTGTGAAAGGCATAAATTATAATTTTCTCTTAGTTAAATGAAAATTGTTAACACTAGATTTGTTGGATTTCTCCATAAGAGAAACACCTCTAAAAATTAGAGTATGCCATTCATTGCAACAAGCACACGGTATTCTTTAGTAAAAGGCGAAAGAATAGTTCGCTATGTGCTCACTGCATGGCTGCTTGAGTCAAACGTTGATGCGTGCATCAATTTATATTGAACTTGGCTACTAGTGTTTAGTTGTTTGTCCGATGTGGGAGTCATAACACTAGTTAATGTCCTAGCTTCTAGTCTTCTACCTCGTATCACTCCCAATCCCATTATTCTCCAATCAAACCAAGCAATATATATAATATTGAATCCTCACTAGCTATTTGGAATTCAGAAATTCTTCATTAGCTTATGAAATAATAATTTTTTGAAATTAATTATAATAATTAATTGATAGGATTACAGAACACTCTAAGAATACAAATAACGGAGTGAGAGCAAAATTTAAAAGATTAGAAAAACATGGGATAAGGGCCATTTGAAATTGATTTGGTGTTACTTGAATTGGCAAAGTTCGATCTCTCTGATTCCTCTAATAGCTAGGCAATAGCATCTCGATAATGTAGTCATTGGCTTATCAATTATGGAGGGAAGCTTCTTAATCGAAGGCCCATTATATTCAAGAAGGTAAATGGTATCTTATGGTATCTTCACATAAGATTAAAAAAAAAAAAAAAAAAAAAATTGTTACGATCAAATACTTATCACTTATGTCAAAAGTGATAGCTTGCTAGTAGCCTTAAACCCGTAATCTAGCTGTAATATCACTTGTTAAGATCAAAGGCTTACCACTTACACCAAAAGATATAGCTAGCTAATAGTAAATGCACAACTTTATTTTCTTATAGACCGCCATCACATTGTTCGAGACACTGGGTGTTAGACTTGGCCCTAAGCCCTTTAATTTACCAATCTCCACACAACAATCCCCCAACTACCGAGTGCATAGACTTGGCTTTACCGGCCTCCACCCAACACTAATAAACAATTAAACAATCCCAAGTAAGGAGAATATATATATATATAACAATATCAAAGAAACCAACCAGTGAATAAAATAAGGGTACTTGAACCCATGAATTCCCATACGACCTTTGACCATAATAAATAAATCCCTAAAACAATTGCCTATGTCTGAGACATCGGGACCTCCTAATTTATGCTAATATCTTTCACAAGAGTATTAAGGTACAACTAGTTCTCAATTTAATTAATTAGAATCTCTTCTAATTTAAAACTCTAAAGATTATTGCATTAAAGATTCGTGAGTTATATTAAAGGATTTGAGTCGAACACAGCAAATTGATGTCATCCTATCTTTAGGGTTGCATGCCACTTGTTCTAATATAATTATGTGGTGATCAAAACATACAAAAGATACCTCTATCACAAATATATGTATCAAACATAAATTAACAAGCTAGCAATTATTAATCCAAGAATAATGAAAACACCATTGGCTCAAAGAATAAACAATTGTATTAGGTCAAAAAACAATTAAGAACAATGTCTCATTATCTTTGGAGTCATCATAAATTCAAGTAGTACAAGTTTAGCTTCTAAGTATGGATGCAAAAATATAGAAAAGATCATTTAATTTAATCTTAGAAGAAATCTTGATTCTAAAATTCTCTGAGATGTAAAGTTTTCTTCCAATCCATATTTGAAGTACCCAAAAATGCCTTGGATAAATTATCTTCCTTGACACAACCATGTTCGAGGGTGCGTCAAAAATTTCCCTACTACTTAGCTTCGGGCATCCCAGAGTGACATTGCTAGACAACACGAGCAACCATGACACGGTTGTGTTTCTTGGTGTGTCAAAATCTGCCTAAGTTTTTCTCCATCATTTAATTTGAATCATTGAAAATTTTGAACATGAAAATTGTGTAAGGTGTTTTATCTTTTCGTGGGTACTTAAATCATCTCAATCGAACTTTGTAGGAAAGAGATATGGCCAGCAAATACTATAATCATATTAAAAAAAATGCATATTTTCTCATTTTGCATTGAAATTCTTGAAAATCAAATATTAATAAATTAAGTATATATTTTACCAAAACGAATGAGATACAAGTAAAAATCATTTTAGTTATAGTATTGGAAATAAGTGAAATGAACCACTTATCAATACCCCTACAATTACCACTCCATGACATGCCATCTTTTTTATTGAATATATAAATTCTTTATTAATTTAGTGTAGGGTCAGCCGACTCTTCGATAATCTATAAAAACAAATTGTTTTCCTTTCTTAATCTGGGAAGTAACTAATAGGGAGTGATAATTGTAAGGGTGAGCAACATTTTCCAATAAAAGAAATGACTATATTTTGACAAGTGTGAAAACTTATCATGCATGTGATCCATCCTCATGTGTAGTGTCTGGACGTGTGGTATTCAAAGTTCAAACTCATAAATTTTAGCATTATGAATATATGTTCCACATTAACTAATTAAAATGTTAAGTTGTTATAGATTATGCACACTTAGGTTGAAGGGCGAATCTTAAATGCACTCCGACAATGTCCCTATATACCATATATTATTATAACAATCGACTTTTAAAAAATTTTATTTAGTTATTTTTTTCATATTTTATAACAATCAAATTAGTCCGTTAGTCCATTCAAAAAAAAAAAATAAAAAATTGTCCGTTAGTCTCATAACTAATTACTTTAGTTTCTTAATTTTAGTACTTTCTTAACTTAGCTCAGGCCCAGATTTTGGGCTGTGCAAGCTGGGCTACTGCGGACAAAGTACCTGCTAGGTCTCTGTACTGTTGCATTTTGTTCAATTTAGTCCTTGTACCTTAATTTTATTTAATTTAATCCCTATACTTTAAGATTTAGAATAATTAAGGACAATATTAAACACCGTTAACTTTTTCCGTTAAGTTTGTCCACGTGGCGTTGAATTTGCCATGTCAGATTGTGTGATGTGGCATTGCCAAGATTAATGTGTAGCTTAGTGGTAGAGCTTTCATTCTTTAACTTAGAGGTTATGGGTTTGAAACTTACTCCTTTTTTGTTCGAAAAATATATTGTTTTATGCCACAACACAAAATCTGACATGGCAATGCCACATCACACAATCTGAAATGGCAATGCCACATCACACAATCTGATATGGCAAATCCAACGCCACGTGGACAAACTTAACGGAAAAAGTTAACGGTGTTAAGTATTGTCCTTAATTGTTTTAAATTTTAAAGTACAGGGATTAAATTGAACAAATTAAGGTACATGGACTAAATTAAACAAAATGCTACAGTACAAGGACCTAGCAAGTACTTTGACCGGCTACTGCACAAGGCCCCAAATTTTAGAAGCTCAATATTTTAATTTTACCTAGTTAGTTTAGAAATAAAAATTAAAAGTTTTTGAACTATATATCCAGAACATAACGCCGTTAACGGCAATCGAAACTGAATTTTTTTGAACGATATATCCAGAATGAATGAACTATATAGTTCAAATTATGCACAACATAACGCCGTTAACGGCAATCGAAACTGATTTTTTTTTTTTTTCAAGTCAGATGTCAAAACGACGTCGTTTTTGCAACCGTGTGAACCATGCATGGTGCACACGGTTGCACATCATAACGCTCCTAAAAAGTTACAATGTAACACACTCCACACACCAATATCCAATAATTTGACTATTACATAATATTTTATCAAGTGTTGATTTTTTACATTATTGAATATATATTGCAATTTTTTACAAGATATTGCAATTGTTTCTAATAGTAACTAAGGTTGTAATTTAAATTTAGGAGTTTAGGGGTTTAAATAGATTTAGGAGTTATTAATATAGATATAGGAAATTTAAAGAATTCTTAATTATAAATATAATAATTTAGAAATTTATTTTTAGACCAGGACTACGTGGTCTAATGGTATCCGGGTTGGGCTTCCAATTGGAAGATTATGAGTTCAAGCCTCAGTGGAGGCGTTATTGGTTCTTTGTGTTTCAGTAGGTTGAGAAAGTATATGAACAGATACTACAATGTAATAGAGCCAGTAACTTTCAAAAAAAAAAAAGAAATCTATTTTTAGATATCAATTAGAATTCTTAATTATAATAGTTTGAGTAAAGACCTATTAATTAACATTATTGTTAATTAGAATTCTTGTACAGGTTAGTTAACATGAATGGATTAATCCTGTAATTAAATAATGGATTAATCTAATAATTAACTAATGAATTAATATGTGATGCATTATGTTAATTAACGTGCAAGTTATTAATCTTTCATTAATAATAATTAAATAATTAGATATATATAATAATTAAGTAAGAAATATGATTAGGAATATATATATATATATATATATATATATATATATATATATATATATATATATATATATATATATATATATATATATATATATATATATATATATTTTTTGTTAATTATAAATAAAAGGAGTTTCCTAAAAAATACAAATCTTAGTTATTTTGCATAAAAGGACTCAATTAGTATTGATTTTAGTTTTTAATGATGTGTCATCTCCTCATTCACCGCCGGTGTATAGCATCTATACACTGATGGTGCATCAAATATTAATCCTACAACTAATGGGAATAAAAGATTTTGTGATTGAGTGAGATAGTGGATGATGATGTGGATGTTGAGTCCCACAAAAATTGGAGTAAAATCCCGAACAATTAAGGATGCCCTTAGTCTCAGCTATATAATACTTACTTAGACATCTCAAAAACAGAAAATATAATACTCCGTACTTACACCATCTCAACAATTATCAAAACTCACGCACTCTTTCATATGGCTTGTCAAAAATTTCAAACTCTTGGCTCAGGATCCTACGGCACTGTGTTTGTCGGCCGACTTTCTTCATCTCCATCAACTGATTCGCCAGTGTTCGCCGTGAAGTCTTCAAAGCTAGAGTCTTCAAGCTCACTTAGGGTTGAAGGGCGAATCTTGAATGCACTCCGAGGATGTCCCTATATCGTCCAATGTTTCGGAGAAGACACCAGCGTAGAACATGGAAAGGCTGTCTACAACCTTTTACTCGAGTATGCTCCGGGTGGGTCACTGGACAGCCTAATCAAGTCTCGCACCGGAAGCATCCTAGAATTCGAGGTTTCTTTCTACGCTTATCAGCTTCTGAAGGGGATACTGCACGTGCACAGGCGAGGGTTGGTTCACTGTGATTTGAAACCGGCCAATGTTCTTGTCTTTCCGTGTGGGTTCGGGTGAATCATCTCAAGATGGCCGATTTTGGGCTGAGTAAGGTTGCCGGAGTTAACATTTTTGGGGATTGTCACCGGGGTCTTGGCTATACACCTCGCCCGAATCTCTGGTTTCCGGGATTCACGAGGCGCCCAAGGATATATGGGCTATAGGGTGTATGGTGGTGGAGATGTTCACTGGAAATCCAGCGTGGAGGTTCCATGATAGCGACGATGCGTCTCTTAACATTGCTTTCATGAAACCCGAAATCCCAGAAGGCATATCGAATAGCTGCAAGGAGATTTTCTGGAGAGGTGCTTTGAAAGAAATCCCACTATGAGACCTACTGCCGCTGTGTTACTCAATCATCCGTTTGTTGCGAACGAATTCAATCGACTGTTGGGGCAAAAGTTGGAGAAGGATCATCAAGTGATTGGAGAATGGAGTTCCAATGTTGGGCTGTTTTCGACTCGACTAGGGTTCCTGCGTTTTATTCCAGACCGCTTCTCTTTCCGAGGACGGAAAGAGATGTTGCTACTGTCGGACATTGATGATGTGTTCTGTTTCATGGAACAGTTTTAGGAGAAAGAAATAGGCTTATTTTTATATAACTTCATGAATCTTACTTGTACAAAGCTTATTTGACCGTTGAATTCAATTTTGATTGTGTTAATAAATAATTTTTTTTTTTAATTTCTGTTTTTCTTTTTTGCTCCTTTTCAGAACAAGTTATTTAATTTTGCTAGTATTACTTGTTGATTGAATGAATACATGAAATCCCCTCTTCCTCTCTTTTCTTCTGCAAATTTGTCTTATGGATACCATAAAGTTGATTGAGGCAGTGAAGAAGAAGCATATTATCATTTTGGTGGATAGTGGTAGCACTCACATACAATTATGGATGAGTTAAGAAAAGAAGCAGAAGAGGCTAACTGTGACTGTGGCTAATGGACAGAAAACCACTTGTGATGCTGTCTGCAAGGTGTTCAAATGGAGGATTGGATTCAACTAGAAATTATGGATGATGATGATTTTAATGTCCTAATAATATATATGCACTCTCATTGATTCATTTCTCTTCTCCTATAATTTGATCTGTTACTATGTGAAATGAAATTTAAAGGTTTCACAGTTTACAAAGTAATTTGAAATGTTTGAATATATGAAAGCAGATATCAATGGTACTGAGGTGTTTTAAATTTCTTAGCATGCACAAATGATCTTTGTGGATTTACTTCCATTTCACTTTAAATCTGGTTGTTGTGTGTCCATGCTATATATAGAAAACCATGAATAAGTTATAACTCTTTACTAGTTCATTTATCCATAAACTAATTTGATTTGATTGTGCATCTATTTTTATAAAAGTTTGCAATAGTTATACACTACTTATATTGGACATGTCAATACACATTCGATCTCCAAAAGGTTGATGATGTCCGAGCTGAGAGGGCATGAATTATATGGACTGACTGGCAAGCTAAACTGTGTTTCCACATTGGTTAAACTCAAACCTGTTGGGCTGGGGAACAGGCTGCAATGCTTGTAGTGATTGTTTGGTGGCAAAATGGACATACAGGTCTTAACTTGGAAGGTGTGGTTGATTGGAAATGATTTATTCATTCTTAATTAACAAAATGTCAAGTAATCGATTCTTGACTTTAGTATGGAGCTAGCCTCTTCCTTTTTTTAAAGGGATCTTTATGCACATTGAGAAGGAGTTGCAGTACAAAATCCAATGGATTAAATTGCAATGCAACAAAATTCCGGAAGCTTTTCAAAGGGGAGAAGCCGGTCAAATTATTTTGTTTGCCATAAATAAATGTTGTTGTTTTTTTTAGAACTATTAACTATGTTACAATGTAGTATCTATGTATTGATGAATCTTCGGTACATGAATAATGTACTTTCAAAAAATAACATTCAATATATTAGAAATGAAGTTTTAGTATATTAAAAATGTACCTTATTATTACTATATAGTTCACCTTACAAGATGGATTATGGTCCATGGTATAATGATTCAAGAAGTCAAAGGTGAGTTGGGCTAAAGTCAATACAAATTGTTGCTATAAACTCGTGCTTGGTTGAGTGGATGGGGAGGCATCCCAATTTTTATATTGTGGACTAGGATTCACCATTTTATAAAGTTTTTATCGTATTTGGTCCTCCGATATTAATATATCTTTCACATTCATTTTCTTTTTTTTTTTAATGTTGATGCATGACTATATTTCTATCACATTTGGTCATTTTGATCAATTTTCACATGAATTTTGTTTGAATTCCATCAACACTAACCCTCGGTCATTCTGATCAATTTCACATGAATTTTGTTTGAATTCCATCAACACTAACCCTCAGACCATTATATCCTATTGTGTCATCTACAGGTAGCTTAAATTCAAATAAATTACATGATTGAACTTTTTGAGATTTAAGCTAAAGTTGACCATAACTATTGTGTCAGGTACATTTTTAGTATATTAAGGCTACATTATTTATGTACGTAAGGTACATTTTTAATATATTAATGGTACATTATTTTATATAATGTACATTCAGTACAAAAATAATGTACTTTTAATATATTAAAAATGTACTTGATATTCATGATCCACACAAACACAATAATTTGTCGAAAAACTTATAATTATACATCAAATATGAAAATCTGATAATTAAAGCCCAAACGTGGATGATCTACAATACTCAAATGCAATAATATTAATGTGTGGAACTATGGACCATAAATAAAAAAAAAATATTATTTGTATACATAAAGTGCATTATATATATATATATATATATATATATATATATATATATATCAAATAATGTACATTTAGTATACTAAAAATATATATTGTATTTAAAGAAAAGACAGTATTTGAGTATTAAAAGTATATTATTTTATATAATATACATACAATAAACAAATAATGTATTTTAAATATATGAAAAAAATATTTTATGGACCACACAACACTGTGTGGACCATGGTCCACATAATAATATGCGACTCAAGTGACAAAAAATTTACAAAAATTAAAAAATAAAAAAAAATAAAACCTCTTATATTACAACAAATATCTATGCTAAGTTTCCCAATTTTGCTGAACTGCAAGTCTGCAACATTCAGCTAGTAACTTACCAAATTTCTTTATTGATGTGAAGTAACATCTAAATCTAAAAACATTATGCTCTTGATTTTTGTATGTTAATACAGGTAATTTAAAACTAGCCAAATTATTGTGTAATTTCTTGCATGTCTGAAGGGTCTTTTAATTATTAAGGAGCAAAGATTTATACAAATTCATCATGCAAAGTGAATAAAAGATGTAAAAAATTATGTTGTTTTAATCTATCTCAGTTCTATCATAATAATTATCATAAGAGTTATCAGAGTCAGGGTCATAATTTGAAATAGAGGATAAGTAGGGTTTGAGGTCTTAGAAGATTCTCCTATCTCATCATGGATATGTGTATGTTGTTAGTGAAATTCTGCTCCAAAATTTTTAATGTGTCTTGCCTTAGTAACTAGTTTCATAATTTCATCAATTAAAATCTCGAATTCATTTTCTTCAGTATCCTTTTCAATTTGTTCTTTTAATTTATCAAGTATTAATTGTTCTTAAAATTGAGAGAATTTTAGATTTGGTAGTGCAAATAAATAAATAATTATGTGTGCTAGAGAATTAGGAAATGTTCAAATTCTCAAATTGAACTGAATCAAATTCGAACCGAAACCAAACTCTTTCAAACTGTTTTCGACTAAGGTTCCTGCGTCTTGTTCCAGACAGCTTCTTTTTCCGAGGACGGAAAGAGATGTTGCTACTGTCGGACATTGATGATGTGTTCTGTTTCATGGTAAAAGTTTTAGAAAAAAGAAATAGGCTTATTTGTATAGAAACTTCATAAATCTTAATTGTACAAGGCTTATTTGACCTTTGAATTCAATTTTGATTATGTTAATAAATAAATAAAAATTTAATTTCTGTTTTTCTCTTTTGCTCCTTTCCAGACCATAAGTTATTTAATTTCTGCAATATTCTCTTTTCCGGATACTATATGGATATAGGCCCCCTATGTTGTCACTTTGTCACATAAATAAATAAAAATTTAATTTCTGTTTTTCTCTTTTGCTCCTTTCCAGACCATAAGTTATTTAATTTCTGCAATATTCTCTTTTCCGGATACTATATGGATATAGTCCCCCTATGTTGTCACTTTGTGGGGGTGACAAAATATTGGATTGCACTATTGGCTATCCTCAAGTATAATCTACTGCATACAATTGTTAGATCCCCTCTGAAATAGCTATATTTTAGAGTGTTTTTTTTTATCATTCGATTTATGGATTCTCCAACTTGATCTTATTATATGTGAAAGATTATGATTTTTAATGTCTTAATATTCACTCACATTAAACAAAGAACACACATATTCATTGATTCATTTCTCTTCTTATAATCTTGTTACTATATGAAATGAAATTCAAAGTTTTCACAGTTTACAAAGTAATTTGAAATGTTTGAATATATGAATGCAGATATCAATAGGTGTTTTAAATTTCTTGGCACAAATGATTTTAATTTGTGTCCATGCTATATATAGAAAGCCATGAATAAGTTATAACTCTTTACTAGCTCATTTATCCATAAACTAATTTGATTTGATTGTGCATCTATTTGTATAAAAGTTTGCAATAGTTATACACTTATACTAGACATGCCAATACACATTTGATCTCCAAAACTGCATTATATTGTGTTTTAACTTCCGTATGCATGTGATCTGAATTACCTATCAATCTAAAACTTAATGATGTAACAGTAGATTTCAAAATTGATATTTTCAGGTTTATGTAATTGGTGAGGAAGATAAGGCGTATTGGAGACTTATCCTTTCAATTAACACCTTCGTAGTAAATACATGAATCATGGTACTGGATGGAGTCCGTGACATGGTCCCTAAGATGCTTCCATCAGCAATTATACTGTGGATCGCGGCGCACGAAGCTTTGT